TCTTAGCTTTATTTGCAGAGAAGCAGTTTCACGTTTGTGATTGTAAAGTGAGGCTGTGACAAAATGATTGATTTCTCGTAGGGATCAGCCATTTATTTTCAGTTGTTATGCATCGTACCATATTCCAGTCAGGTTACGCACGCTTCAAGCGCCCGCCACGTGCGTCCACCCCCCGGCCTCCAAAACCCTAGGAGACTTTCTTAGTGATTGCTAAGAACACCCTTATTTTCTCACTGTTCAAATTGACTTTGATGGCACATAATTATTATCTAAGTGCTTGTAAGTCATTACATAGGGGAATGAGTGAATGTAGTTTATGCAAATCTGTCCCAAGGAAGGTCTGTATTAAGATTTTAAGCTGCACAGCCTAATAATTCAGGCCTGTACTCTGTCAGTCGGTGCCACGTCGCTGCTATGATCACCCACACACAACTAGAAGGTGGCATGCAAATTAATACGATTTTTATGTTCTTGAAAGACGAATTAGTTGACCTTAAGATTCCATATTTCAACGACGACCCCCCTAGAAAAAAAGGTGACTTGTGCAATTTCTAGATACCAGGTCAACGTTTTGCTGTACAAATCAGGGCTTTACTCACCAGCTTCCAGTTTCGTCGTAACTTGTCACGTGATGACGGGATCAACTGAGGTCAGCTGGGGGTCAACTAAGATCGAATGAGGCTGGACTATTTAGGCTGTCACGGGAGGGGGTCGTCTTTGAAAATGGAATTCCTGGGTCAACTAACGGTCAATCAAAAGCACAAGAAATGTATTGATTGACGACACCCTAAAACGTAAGACTGGCCAACAGTTACACTACAGTTAGAAGAAAAATGGAGGATTCCTTCAAATTCTAGAAATAACGTTAGCCCCTAGGCCTACACCAGTAAGTTCTGATGGTTAGGCCATGATAGGGCTGGCCTTGCTTGGCGTTAAGTTACACTAGAGCAGGGACAGGGTCGGCAACACAAGAGTTGGGAGCCAGAATTATATAAGCCTTGGTTTAGCCCGTAGGCCTAGCGCGAGTCAGAAATACAATGCCTGTTTGTGTGTGATAATTAATCTAAGCGCGTAACGTAACGTACATGTACGTAGGCCTAGGCCTCCATAAATATGCCTAGGCCTAACGTTAGGCTCTATTGCACGCGTAAAGCATGGGTATAGGCCTAGGCCCTGTCATGTACTATGTACAGTACTCATGCACTAGGCCTATGTCATGACGTGCGTAAATGTACGTCATGCATACATCACACAGGCATGATTGGCCTAGGGCCTATCGTCTCTTTAAAGTTAGCCATGTTGGCACTTCACGGAAGTTTCTGCAATATTTTACCATAACGCTCTCTGACAATCCTCTCACACCCTCTCACACCAACAAAAAACATGTTCCTACCTTGAAAATCTGTAACAGATCTGGAAATCCCCATTCCACAAGTTTGGAGGAGACTGTGTCAGCCCTCGTGCCTTTCTGCTGGACAGCCTGCGCACGAAAGGCCGAATTGTGTACAATAAATTTTCCATCAAAGTTCGGCAAACCAATCATAGCTTGGTCTCGATACCGTGTGACCTTAGTTGGGCCAAACAAAATTCTGCCCAATTCAAAAAAGGGCGGAAACGTTTTCCCATACAGGGGTGGCTATGATAATTGTCCCTTTCAACCAACAGTTGATAGACCCGTGTTGTATTTCCCACAATATATATTTTACCAAACGCATCAAAATAATTTAATTTAACCAACCATCTATCAAAAAAGGTTACCCAACTTTAGAAGTCTAACCAATATTTGGCGATTTTCAACCAACTGTACCGATTCTATACTGAAAGATTCGCGCAGAGTGAAAATTACTCCCTCCAGAAAGCGCACCATCATGGACCATTTACGTAACACTAATGATGGAGATGCGTGTTGCAAACGCGGTGCAGGATTAAAAGTAAACTGGGTACTCAGAAGCAAAAGTAATATTAGGCCAGTGAAAATGGTTTAAAAGTGACCGAATATCTGCGGTGGGGGGTAGTGGCTCTGCGTAGCAGCCATCTTGCAGGGCCTTTGTTTTGTTCTGCAGGGAAAAATCTTTTGTGTATAGCCTATGAAACACAACCGTTGACCTGCAAACTCTCTATGGGCACACAAAGCTCTGGGTAGATGTACTTGCTTCAGTACCACCACTGAGTTCTCCTAGTGCAAATACATGGTACAGTGCACAGTGATACAAGTGCCACCAACTCCTGTTAGCTTAATACCCGCACATGCAGTGCAAAGTCAGTTCGAGGTCATGCTTACAAATGCTGTATAGTCGGCCTACGGACGATTCACGGCGGCTGGATCCATTGTTTGTCAATGGATTGTGTTCGACCGTCCTTGAATTTACCATCCACGTCTGTGTATCCAAGGCCAATACATATTTTATGATACACAAAATGGAAAGCTGAATTACTCTAGGTACCTTTGAATGCAGTCACTGATACTGCTTGCCTAACGTGCAGTGATTACAACTGCATGTAATCTTGAAACAATCCAGGCTATTAGGTAACATGCAGAGCGTATTCAAAAGGAAACAAAATGTCTTTTTTCAGATGGTGTTATTTTTACGCCAACTGCCTAGTAGCACCTTAAAGCCCCAGGTTTCCTCTTTTCAATGATATTTTACTTATTCACACACAGCTATGAATAGCTGAACCAATAATTCCTTTTAAACAACGAGACAAAGGGGCATATAGGAGCCCAGTTTCAGTTGAAATTCCAGCATAATTCGTATTCATTCTCGATTTCTCCTATGAAATACTTGTAATCAATAAGCCAGGTGTGTTCACAAAGGAGTCAGAATTCAAAAGAAACTTTGCCGCGTTGTTTGGTACGCTTTGTATACTTAAACAAAGACAAGTCTTCAAGATGGGTGTGCAGTGTCATGTGGTTGCTGAGGACAGGACTCCTCAAAGTCAATGCGTCAAGAGCAATTCACAACAGACATAGGCCTACGGATGATTGGTGGATTGTTAGCGACTATGTATTACTGCAATTGGCAGTTTTGCAGGTGCATGAATACGATTTAGTAAAGTCCAATTTACTATAAATTAAGTACGCTTAAATGACTTTCAAAATGTCTGAGGTGCGTTAAATATGCAAGCTCAAGTACAGGAAAGTGCCCCAAGATGTATATGTAAGTGCTACATGATTTACAGTAGAGCTTTGTACTCAGGGCGTCTTTCAAACTCTTGGCATATAATCTTCTATATTTTCCTCATCCAAAAGAAGACGTGCTTTTTGCATTTCTAATTAAAATCCCATTGACATCTATTAGCCAGGTCATTGGGCTCTTGTTTAGTACCTGCAACCCGATTACAGTCTTTGGATTCCTCTTAGGAGCATCTGTCCTCGTGTCGCTCTTCATGACAAGCAGTGTTAGAAGTCTCGAGGCTGCCTTGGCTTTGGCCCCAGCCTCGCTATGCAATGACTAGGTCTTGACCTTGGTTTCAGAGATCCCAGACTTGGACTTGGCCTTGTAGTAGCCTATAATGTTAATTCCTCCGAGCGTGAGCAGTAGGCATGTCACAGCCTCACAAGTTCAGACTAGCCGAGAGGCCATACATCCGATTCCCTAAGTTAATTTAGAGTTCCAAGCATTTGGTAGTAAATTCACAATGCAATGGTTAGCCTTGACCTGACCTGACTTCCATGAACTTAGCTTTCTTGGCCAAGGCTTGACCTGTATTCACGATGGATCACTTAAATAGTAGTCAGCTGAATGTCACCTTGTCTTGATTTCATTGTGCACTCGCATGTACTACCCCAACTCTGGACCAACTCTTGCTGTAACAAAGTGTGTATGACGTCACTAGTAGAAGTAGTATAAACAATTTCTGCCTCTGAGTGCTGTCATTTTTAGAGTCTGGTACAACCCTACCTTAAAACTGTAAACTGGTGACCCAGACGTGATTCGGTTCCTAGCCTCAACGGTACATTTTGATTCTGGGTCCATCATGTCCGTTGACACTGGCAGTGAAACCATCATAGGGGTTTGGTGTATATCTCCCACACAACGTCCACCAACTCCTTCGCCTGTGGCAGCAGTTAGCCTGAAACTACCTCCCAACTCTGAGGTTTGCCCAAGCCGAGGAACTTTTTGCGACGAAGAACATCACAATGCAAGAAACAAGTTTCGTGCATGTCGCATGTTCATTGCTGCCTCAAATAGCACAGGAGGTACGTGACATTTTGATAAACCCACCCACTATTGTCCAATGCAGTCGGTTCAAAACGGAACTGAGCAGAAACGCCTACATCAGCTTATAATCGCTGAAGAGCCAGGGGATCGTAACCCTCCCAGTTGTTGAGGCTAATGCGCCAACTGCTGGGAGAGAACACTTTGGAGGAGAAAGTACTGAAACAGCTTTTCCTCCAGAGACTTCCAACAACTGTACAGTCAGGTCTGGCCTCCTCTGCCGACACAATGGGTATTGAGCAATTGGCAGATGGCTGACAAGATCTCGGAAATTTCCAATCCGACTCATCAGTATCGACACCTTCGAGAAAACAGGCACCAATAGCACATGTGGAAGTTGCTAGACTGCAGAACCAGGTTGATATCCTATTAAGACGTACGAAGAGCGGTCCATGACACTCCGCCGAGATTTCCGGTAGGTGTTTATAGTAGCAGAACTTCCGACACCGATTGTTGGGGTGGGTTTTCTCCGCCACTTAAATTTATTAGTACCGCCCAAACTCATCGACTTTATGACCAATCTCAAAGTAACATGATGTAACATCCAGTACGAAATCTGTCAACCTCACGTTCGAGACAGTATCTTCATCACGCTAAGACACTCTCCTTCGTGATTTTTTTGAACTCTCACGTCCGGTGTACGGAATACGGACGTAAGACATAACGTTACTCATCACATTGAGACTCATGAACCAGCTGCCGCAGCTAAACCACGCCGCCTCGGTCCAGATCGACAAGCCGCTGCCAAAGCGGAGTTTGGTCACGAGCTCAATCTGGGCATTATTTGCCTCTCAAGCAGCAACTGGTCATCCCCACTTCACATGGTCCCTGAGAAACAGCCCAGTGACTGGCGACTATGTAGAGACTACTAGGAACTAAACAGTTCCACTGTGCTGGATTGCTACCCCATTCCTCCTCTTCCAGATTTGTCACCACATCTTCATAGCTGCGCCATTTGCTCAACGATCGACCTGATACGCGCATATCATCAGATTCCTGTTGAATCATGCAACAGACATACCAAAAACGGCCATCTTGAAGCCCTTTGGCCTTTTTGAGTTTGTTCGAATGCCATTTGGTTTACGGAATGCAGCACAAATATTGCAACTGTTTATTGCCGAAGTCACATGTGGGCTCTCAGTTGTTTTTGTTTTCTTTTTGTTTGTTTGGTTTTTGTTTCTTTGTTATTTTTTTTTGGGGGGGTGATTCTTTTTTGGCCTATCTGGATGACATGATCCTCGCTGCTCGTTCATCCGTGGAGGAAAATGAAAAACACTTTACGCCTCCTGCTCGACCGCCTTGCAGTCTTTAGTGTTGATATCAACTCAAGCAAGAGTACGTTTTGTGCAACTTCGCTTAAGTTCCTCGGACACGTGATCGACCGACACAGGATACCCCCCTTCCCAGACAAGGGGAGAGTTATTCGCGAGTTCCCTTTCCCCAGCTCTCTAAACAAATTATGCGAGTTCCTAGGCCCAGGCTACTTCGACAGGCGCTTCATTTCTAAATGCACAGACACTATCCAATCCCCCACTAACTTGCTTAAGATCAGAAAGAAGAGAAATGATCCCATTATCTTTAACGACAAAGCAAAGTCAACATTCAAGCGTACTGAATGGCAGTTAGGTGATGCCACAACGCCCGTTTACCCCAAGACTGATGCCCCATTATAGCTCTATTGGTCGACGCATCTGACACTGGAGTTGGGGCTGTGCTACTGCTACTTAGTGACGGTATTTGGTGACCACTTTCCTTCTTTTCCAAACACCTGAAACGGGTGGAGACCCGTCACGTTGTACCTTTGGAGCAGAAGTTCTCGCTGTCTATCTAAGCATCCAACACTGCCGTCACCTGTAGGAAGGCCCCTCTTTCTGCGTGCATACGAACCACACACCACCACCGGTTCGTTGTTCATTTCAAATGGTGCATGGTGCTGAAATGTGGTTATATAAATCAATCGATCTTCAACTCGGTTCATTGCCATTGCTAGGTTCTTATCGTTTTTCGGGCATTTGTATTCCCTTTTAAATCGCATATATGTAAATCATTTACCGAATATAAATTTCATACTGATTGATTCACGCGGAGCAAACTACTCCCTCCCTCAAGTGCACAATTGGGCCTTTTTTATTCCATTCTACCGATACAAAGATACATGTTTGGTAAGGGATGCAGATTTGGTAATCAAAATGGGAGACGACTAAAGCGCAAGTAACATGGTAGCGATGAAATTGGTTGAACTGGAGCCAATTTACTTGCAGCGTGCCACAGGCGAACAAACCTCATATTTTTTTCCTTCATGGTGTCATTGCAAGCTCCTGAAAACAGTCAAGGTTCAATGGACAGTCGTGCAATGCTACAGTCAACAAACATAACTATGGTCAATACAAGGAAAGCTAAGTACAGGTACACTTGTTGTGCAAAATCAGTTGAAGGCCGTGTTTGAAGCCGTGTTTGAATACACTGGTCGAAAACCGTGACTGACTTGGGGCTGTGCGCACGGTTCACCACTGTGGCACTATGTACAACTAATTGAGGGTCCATCCGCATATAAAAAAGACACATTATGAGGCACTCACGTTACCTGGTTTAGTCAACGCCATTTTTCATTGCACCGACTAGCTATTCAGTGTCGGAAGTGCAACTCCGTGAACTCCCAGGTGGGTAAATGCTTCACGTTAAACTTTCCATAAAGCAAATGTCTACCTGTATATAACCCAGAGTTATTTGAAGTCATGCTGTAAATGTAAATGGAATTAACCTATTGATGATTTAGTATACATAAATGCAATGACATGACTCATCTACACAAAGTGTTCCTTCAATACGCTGTATGGGAATATTCATTGTGTTAAAGTAGCCGTCCTGAGGCATCACATTCAAAGTCTCACTGTCAAAAAGATAAGCTCCCTCTCTGAAATACTGCTCTGGTATCATTCTCTACAGATGCATTTATGTGACTTGACATTGATGCCTACCGATATGTCATACAAGTTCCAATGCTCATTGGTAGAAAATAGTTAACCACAAGTACTTTAAAAGATGTGCTTAGTGTCGAAGAAACGTTAATTTTAATAACAATTTGCCCTTAACCGATATATTTACATTTTTTGCAAACACTGTATACTCAGTGCTTTTAGAGAGCTTTCAAAAACTTCACAGGCTTACTTGGGTGAGATTCAAACCCAGGACCCCTTGCTTACTAATGCAGACGTCTTAAACTGATTATTTAAGGGCAAATTAAGCCTGTCATTAAAATAATAACATCTCTCTGGCGGCGTTATTTTCTTCCTATTAAGGTTACTGGTAATTATAATAAAATGGGCGTATCTTAACTGTTGGGCATCCGTTTTTTCGTCTAGGAATGTTAGGGCTAATTATAATAAATGGGGTACACGAACTTACAAGTATAAGACACAACAAAATTGTCCTTCTTGTCGACTTGTATGGTAGCTCTTTTAGAAGAGAGTTATACCTTGAACCAGCAAGCCAAGGTTTCAAGTCCACGTGTAGTAATTTTGTTCTTGGTGGAGAATTAAGTTGGTTGGAGAATGTTATTATAATATGAAAAGTAAAGCTGACATTTACTTCAGTAATTAAGTTTCTACGTGTCCACTAACCGGATCGACCAGGCCCGTGTTTAACTACCCGTAACCTTCATAGGGAAAAAAAATACGCTCCCCGGCGCAACGTACATTTTCAAATAGTTTGCGGTTTCCGCTGCTACATCTGAGTCGGACCGGCCAGCCGACCCCGGCAAGCTCGCGATCAGTGGTCACGGTCGAGGGGTTAAGACGCCTGCACTAGTAAGTAGGTATGGAATCGAGTCCCACCCGAGTATGCTTGTGTTATTTTTTCCCCAAGCTCTTGGACAAGCACTGAGTACGCAGAGCTAAAACAGTACATAGGCCTAGGTCGGGAAATGGCAAAACCTGCAATAGACCGTGAACGAGAAATCCTACCTTCACTGGAACTACAAATCTGTTTTCACTTTTCAGTGACAACATGACAATCTGTGCTCTTGGTCAATCTTAGGGTGCTGAATTCCAATTTGTTTCCACATCGACAGGCTGTTTCACAAGTCACCACAAAAGGGTGCCAATCCCATTTTGGTCCAAAACAGCATTTTGGACCTTGTTTCCACATATGTCAATCAAATGTTTTGAAATTTGGAACAGGTACTTGTAAGATTTCACTAAAAAAATATTTCTATTTAACACATTTTTCGGCGGGGAGGGGACTCTGGTTCGTTCATGCAGCCTGACTGGCCACCATCTTGTTTTCATTTAGATGGCAAAGAAGAAACCAGGCCCCATACATTGCGAAAAATCTGTCTGGAAGCGAATTCACTGTTTCTTTCTGTTTGGTTTTTTGTTTTTTTTTCAAAGCAAGAATGTAGCACCTGTGTTAATTTCTTCCGATTATTTTCTCAAATCCTCAAATACCAGTGTGTGTATAGGGAATGGGCGTAATCTTGCATGTCACTTCCATTTCTGATGTTTGGTGGAGGTTTTTAATACAAAATTAAGGCAACCTCTCTGTCCTATCCATCCTACTGTTTCGACACGGAAAACCCACGCACGTTTACAGACGCCGCCATGTTGGCACTCTTCCCCAGGTGCAGCGATGGTGTTTCATAGCTCAAACTACCAAAGGATAGAAATTGGAGACGAGACTGTGCCCTCTATTAGCACGTTGGAAAAACATGAGCTTTGGCCATTTTTAAACCCTTACATTTCACATTAAAGAGGAAAACATCCGGCTGGCAACAGAAAAAAATATTAATTCATACTCTGTATGTTATTTATTAGAGAAAAAGCAAGTTGCCATTTTCAACTCTTAACGAACCTGCAAACTACGATTTCTGGCCCTCGGTCTATAATTCAAATTGACAAGTATGTTTGACTTGTCCTGCTAACAAATACGCTTACAGTAACAAGGGCACCGTGATGGTTTTCGTTCAAGGCTCATGATTAAATTTATAAGAAATCAACATTCATATGTGGTTTCATCCTTAAGCGGTACTCTTGAAAGGTTAATCCTAGTCCCTATCCACTAGGTTTCTCAGTTTATGAAGTGCTACTATTTACTAAAATCTGGCAGTCTATACAGAAATTTTTAAAAAGCAGTTGTAGAAACAATGGTCAGAATAATTTCATCAGTTGGCAGAAATGCCAATATCTGGAGCAAAATGGTACCCGACCCTTTTTGACGCTCCAAAAAACCAAAATTAGCAAAAATCGAAAAACCCTCATATACCTCATAGATTTTTTTCAAAAAATACTTGTCACCGTACAATTAACCTCTGAAAACACCAAAAACCGGCACGAATTTGGCCAAAACGGGCCCCAATTCGTCAAACGGCCCAATTTAACAAAACGGCCCAAATTGGCTGAGATTTCCCAAAATTATCAAAACCCGGCCAAAAACGGGCCGAATTTCATAAAACGTGCCAAACGGCTCAAATTCCACAAAATCCAGGAAACGGGCCTGCCTTCCGAAAATTCTGAAAACATTTCTGCCTTTCATCGGTATTCCCGAAATGGTTTTAACTTTTGCCTGTCGGTTCGAATACGCCAAATTAGTAGCGGCTCACGCGGCGTGGTTAACTGTAAAGGGTTGTGAAACAAAAGTTGAAATAAAGTTAGCGCCTCTACCCCGTAGAGTAGAAGCGCCAATAAAAATGATGTAATATAATATATATATATAATATTATTTTTGAATAAAATAATAAATTGTATAAAGATCGTTAATACCAAATTACATTATAAACATAATATTCACGGCTGTAATTCATGGATTAAGTCATTACAATGAAAGCACATCGGCAGTCACTATATTACCATGCCTCAACCGCGACAGCCTTTGGTGCTATTCAAGCGCAAGCAATTAACACAGGCTGTGAGAAATTATACAAAGCAATTTCAAAATTTACCTCGCAAATGTATCGGCATATTACGAAATTGGCAGATGACAATAATTTACGTATAAAGACCGATTATTGAAGAAAGATTACATTGCCGCAATTAAAGCTTCTATCAACCGGAATTATTCCGCGAAATAGACGTACGCGGCGTAAAGTGACTCCAAGACAACTATCGAAATTGGGATTAATACTGCGGATTTTTTATTACGCTTAGGAAAGACATCGAAAAAATGGCATTGAAACAATCGAAGGAAATTGGCACTTATCGTTTCCAAACGGCGATTAAAGTCCGATTTAAAAAGGATCGGCCAGAACAGAAAGATGTCGTTACGGCAGAATTTACTTTCTGGTCAAACGTTACAACAGTGCATTTTGAATCAGACGTTGAAAATAGGTTGGAAGAACAGAAACAAAAGCTTTTAGAATTGATAAATTTGTCAATAAGGGATACGGCTGGCTACTCAATGAAATTATTACTTTTTATCTCAATGTAATAAAATAAAGCCCACAAGGCGGCACTTACATCAAATTGCCTGAGTGTATCGAAAATAAGAAGCCGTAATAAACGTTAAAAACCAAGACTGCGAACGCATACGTTGGGCAATATGTATAACCGTCGACGCTCCATACTTTATCCCTTTTTAGTGACTTTTGGCATGCCATACTACGGTCGTAAAGTTCACGATGCAATGTATAACGTTTTAGCGGGCCGCCGTCCATCAGCATACAGACTTTCTGTCCACCTCGCTCTGATCTATTCCCAGAAGGTGATATCTATAAACGAATAAGTACATTCTAGATCTGCAGTTTTTGACCATCCATTGTATACTGATGTAGAGAAGAATTTTTGGGGTCTGTCTTCGATAAACGGCACAGTGGTAAGCGTGTATTACTTTGGTTCATGTATAGCATTTAGGGCCTACAAGTACTTGTAGTCTTACCGTTACGTGTACTGTACACTACATGTTTCCAGCTAGTTTTATAAACACTGACTGTGTCAACGTTAGCTGCGTGATAAACTTTCAGATGTTTATTGTATCGCAACTTAACTCATCTATTCATTTCATTACTTGAATATTATGCATGTGAGTACAAATAATTAATACATGTACATGCAGTTTGGGCGGAAATAGTAAGGATTTGTCCCCGAGTTTGACAATATCTTCAGGTTTGTAATTTGGATCAGCCACATGTATCTTCACATGACATTTACTAGGGCTTACCAATTGTAATGTTGATGTGTTTTCTGACATGCATATTTTCTGTATTTGTTTACCTGTAGTTCTTACGGCATTCGAAGTGGGAACTTCTGCTTTGAACCAGAGGTCAGAAGTAAATAAAACTTGAAAGACATGCCAGTCCAAGAACGCGTTGAATGTAATTCCATCAATTGTCGGAGACAGGCACAATGTGCACAGCTTTGGAATTATATTCAGATAAAGTCAAACTTAAAATAAAAAAAGATCCATGTTATGGAATGGAACTCGACAGAGCAACAACTTACAATCCAAATGAATTAGATTTCACGGGCAAAGACTTTCCCACGCAAAAGAACCAAATTCCTAAAATCTAAGCACAAAATAATTTTTCGATTAATTTATATGGTTATAATCGGGAAAAGGCACGTTTCCCACTTTGTATCTATCTAAAAACGTTTCAACAGATAGACATATAGGCATATTATTATCCGACAACTTGCATATTCAAAACTATTGTTAGATTAAAAACAAATCGAGACTCATTTCAAACTTGGTGAGCACCCACGGCCACGCCATTTATGAATGTCACAAATGCCAATCTATTTTTACAAAGCCGAAAAATTAGCCAGGCATCAAGAAGATTGTCTAGTACTAGACGTGCCCGTTACTAAAGTAGTACTACCGCCAGAAAACGACAATATAATAACTAATACACTCTAGATGATAATCGTTCCTGCATTTTACCAAAAAATCACACCACTGTATGGCAGTCAATGCCACTTGTCCCATCATTTGGAAGTAATACTGGTGACTAGTTTTCAATCTGTAAGTTCCATTATTGGCTCTTCTTAATTACGCACATTCACCTAAGTTTTCTTTGTCTGGATATTTAATTTCTAACAACCCAAAGGGAGGCGTGGTATTTGGGTCAAAGACTTTGCGGTCAGGAGATGTTCCAAGATGAGGGGCAGAGGGATTTACAACAAAACCACATAAATACACATTGTTCCCTGTTACATCTGAGTACAGCTTGGCAGCTTCTGGCTCATGTTCGATGCCAAGTTTCATGGCTGCTGTTTGGATGTCACATTTTTTTCAACATTCTGGTTGCAAGACTTTCGTGATCAGCCTTTCTGGCGCAGACCTGTTTGAAGACTGATGAAGTGAGTCTGTGTTTGCGAGCATCATGCCAGGTTTTGTTGTGGCTCTGTTGTCGGGTTTCAGCCTCGGGCTCTTTTGCAGTTTCAGGTGTTACATGAAGGCCTAAGAACATGTCCTGCTCAGCATGCTGAAGTACAGCATGGTAAGCTGCTGGTTGGTTGGGAGTTGGAAAGTCAGGAAATGTTGAATGAAGAGAATAGTGTATGATATTTCCAGGAGTGTTGTTGACCCTCTGCTAGTAGGATAAAACTGACCCCTGAGGCACAGGTCCGAAGTTTTATTCACAGGAAGGAGGAAATGAGGTGGTCGGTAGCACCTTCAATATCTGTGCATCACTCTGAATGATACCAAGCTGTTGAACAAGTTGTGAGGTAAAGGTAGCACTAGGTATTGACTATGGCACAGGACAGTATACCTTAGGGAGAATTCCTTCTGACACTTTTGGTGGCCTTGCACTCAGGTTTTACTTTGTTTATCCGGAGAGCATCAACCTGCTTGGGAGCCTAGCCCTCTGTCCCATGTGGAATATGCCAAGTTTGTGGCAGAGATGCCTTGCTCTGAATAGGAGGCACAGCCTGTAATCCCAATTTCAGAAAATGACAGAGCAGGTACAGTAATCCACTGCTGTGGCTGCAATGGCCATTACCTGCTTTAAACTAACGCTGAGATGTCCTTACAGTTACTGATTGTTTTGTCACCGTGACCTGGTGAATATATACATGCACATGTGTAAACAAACCATAACATCTTATTTTGTGGGTCAACTATTATTTGCATGTGTGAACAACCGAAAAAAGTAAAACCCAAACAACCAGCAACCTCACCCCATAAAACTGGTCCCAATGTATCATGCATCTTTTTGGAGCTCATCTAAAAATTCAAAGTACTGTCATGGCCAACATTACAGCACCCATTACGTGACTGTCATGTGTTATTATCAAAGAACTGTCTGGTTTCCTTAATAAAAACATTTTAAATGTAATAAACTTTGGCTGTAGGAACCAATCAATAAACAAGTTTAACTTTTTCCTTCAAAAATCATCCAAAACCTCACTTCAACGTAAAGAAAATGAAATCCAACGAAACAGCAGAACAATTTAAAAAGTATACAAACAAATCTAGATTCAGAAGCAAATACAATATATGTTCAACTGTATCCTTTATTAAGTACTGCTGACTCAACTCAACTGTAAAGTAAGAAGAAAACTGTAAAAAAGTAACCGAACAAATCAAACCACTTAAAAAATATTGATTGAACAGGGGTAATAATGGAAAGCACACTGATCTTAGTTAAAAGTACAATAGACATGTACATGTAAGAGCCCCGTCTTATTATTAGTAGTAGGAGCAGTATTAAAACACTGGTAAGAAAGTACATGGAAATGAACCCATTCAAAATACAAAGTTAACAGGATGCCTCAAAATTGGCGGTCAAAACCTGAAAGCAATCTTTCACAGATTTTTACAAACCATCAGACTGTAAGGGGGATTGTTTGTCCGCATTGAGGGATAGGCTCGTGCACGGATTTTACACTCATCACTGTCATCCTTCACCTGAATAATACTTCAATTAAATACAAAATACTAAAAGAGGGAGAAATGATCTGTAGTGATAACCACTTGTAAATTTACTATTTTTTTAACTTTAATCGGTAGGAAAATCACTGGGAATAAATATTTGCTTCAGTGTATAAACTTTATTTCATATTTTGTTTTTCTCACCAAGCAAAATGTGTTGCCTTTGACTTTGTACGTCTATTGTCGCTTGCTCGATTGAAATTCAGTATCACAACCGTTTACAGTTGACCACGCCGCGTGAGCCGCTACTAATTTAGCGTATTCGAACCGACTGGCAAGAGTTAGATCCATTTTGGAAATACCGATCAAAGGCAGAATTTTTTCAGAATTTTCGGAAGGCAGGCCTGTTTTGTGGAATTTGAGCCCTTTCGGGCCGTTTTGTGAAATTGGGCCGTTTGACGAATGGGGCCCGCTTTGGCCGAATTTGGGCCGGATTTGGCGTTTTCGGAGGTTAATTGGTTAATTATTTTTTGAAAAATGTCGATGAGGTATAGGAGGGTTTTTCGATTTGGGCTAATCTTGGATTTTTGGGGGGTCAAAAAGGGCCGGGTACCTATTGGGCGTTTTTCATTTTGCGGCAGAATCAGCATATCCCTACTACTGGCAGCCATTTCATTGAATGAATTTTCTTTCATTGCAAAAAAAGTGAGGCATTCAATGATAGCTGTACTTTTTTTAAACAGTGCTTGAAAAACACTCAACACTCGAACTAACGACTTGTAAACAGTACTTCTATTAGTAATAGTTTGGGGTTTCTTTTCCGCACTTTCAACATACATGCATATTGATAATTTACAAGTGCATAGAAATCGTTTCCAATCTATTTCATTACTTTTTTTATTAGAAAAATCCAATTTTCTCTATACACCACCATCTATAAGACAAGCATGCGTAACGCTATAAAGTGCATTAACCGTTTGGCTATAAAACAAGCTATGGTTTCTAATACACTGTATGGATGGTTGCCTTACACAGGACGGAAAAATTCAAGGCACAATGTCGACAGTTCACCACTCTGGTTACGGTGATTAATATTCAAACTGATGTTGTGTGAACTTTTTTATCCAACAGTTTTGGTTACGATATCCACCTGACCCACCTCATTGAGCGAAAGCCTTGGTGCACCGTTATTTCAAGGCTTACCGTTACCCAATCTTCTGAAGCCTATCACTGGTGTATCATTACACGCTGGAGACTCAATTTGTGAGACAAACCCTCATGATGGTTGTCCAGTGCAGTTCAGGTTGTGCTCACGCAGGCTGGTATGCCGCCCTCTGTGTCCATGTCGACTGGCTGCTGTGGACAGGACTCCTTAAAAGTCTCGGGGTCATGCTGCCAACGCTTCAAGAGCAATTCACAGCAGACACGTGGATGATTGGTGGATTGATAGCGACTATTACTGCTGTTGGCAGTTTTGCAGGTGCATACATACGCTTTAGGTCAATTTACTAGTTTTAACTATAACTTATAAAACCTACTTTCCATATTGACTTAAGAGAAACGCAGAATTAATCACACTTGTGTACTTTTGAGGCTTGCGTTGCATACACTATGCGTTCATTGGTTTCACTTTCACGGACACAAAAACCGACTCCAGTTGTAACACATACGTGCGTTGCGTTTGGTCGTCAAAATCGCCCCGGGAGTGATTTTGACGAATAGTAAACGCTTGGTGCAAGTGTTGATGCACATACGGAAAGGCGCCTTCGACAGGCTGTTCTTTTACGTAGGTCCCAGGCACAGGTTTTTTATTTTTTTTCTACCAATAGTCAGTCATGTTGTGACTTGAAGTAAGAACAACACACACGAACACAAATACATACCTGTACTAAGCACCATTACAATTTGCTCATTCCATGTTTTATACCGATGAAATAAACGGTGCATTTTGAGGTACCAAAAACGTTGTTCGACAACCAAGGATAAACTTACTGAAAACCCTTGCTTCCCATAACGAGCAAATGGAAAAACACGTGTGTGAAACAAACGACGCCTTATCTATGGGTTTGTGACAAGAGGTTTTTAATGGGGCAGATTGACAACAGTCCTATGGTTTTGGAAATCCGACTGTCTCTATTTAAAAAGCATTTACTTATCCCTGGACCGACCTTGGAATCAAAATGGCTTCAATCTAAACTATAATTAGAGAGGACACAAATTCCTCTAATTATAAGAATCTTTGTGTACAAACACTATATTTAATTAATATAAATTGGAAATGGGCCCAGATTTCAACCTGTTACCTCCAGGACTGACCTACATACTACTATACTACTAAACATGTAATGATGGATACCCTTCCCCCTTGGTTAAATTAAATCGTTTGTTGTTGGTTTACAACACGCAGCGTTACGTGAACACAGTAGGGCGTTGGTTTTAACGACGTCCAGTCGAACGATTCGTTGAAGCCATTACTGCGGTGTCCGCATCACTCAGTCGCGCATTCCTAAGCTTGACGAGCGCGTGATGTTGGTTAGCAGTGCGCTCCCCTTTGCTGATGAGGAAGCATTCAATGTGCATATTTTTTCTTTACACAAATGGGCACAACATAGTTATAAATCCTGCAGGTATGTTTCAGAGGGAAATTATTCACTGCGCATGTCCGGTTTTAGGGTGATTTGAATGCGTAATGAGGAACATGGCAATTCGTGCCAGGGAAACAGTTGCCTCATTTCATGAAATTTACGTCTTTTTCATCTTTTGAAATAAACATTCCTGCCCAAAATATTTTCATGGCAAGATAAGGCCTTATCCTAACGTGTTTTCTGAAAATAAAATTGAGAAATAGTACCAAAGTGGTCAAAACTAGTGATTTTTGTGAAAAACTCTTTTCGTAAGCGGTAGTTTCAAGTTGACGTTTTGATGCATTTGTTACGTTTTCGAAGGCTCAAAACAAAAAATTCCAATTTTTCCTGAAGTTTTCAAAAATGGGCTATGGTGGAGAGAGGTGTGAAGGTGTTAGATTTGATAACGGTTTTCCGCTAGATTCTTTTCTTTTCCCGACCGGACGCGACCTGGCACCGATTCCGTTCATCCCGCATAATCTTACGGCCTTGCGAGCCTAAGAATTCAATGACTCGGGAACGAAAGACGAACACAAAAGTACATGAAGTTAACATGAACTTTATTAATGAAACTGATGTCTATCTGTCATTATAAAATTACCAGGAAAATGTTAAAATTCACGGTATACATCCCCAGGTTTACATGTAGTACACATGCACGAACCACATGAACATGTACACCGGCTCCGTCGAAAATTTCCATGTACGTGTACATTTACGCCGCGGTATGCATGAAACAGGCCGCAGTGTACCCTGCACGGTATGTGGTGGATCGGTTTTATGCGTGTAAAACACGTATATATCGCGCTGTGCAGAAGTTAAATCACGAAAATATAACAAAAAGATCTATCTACATAGAACGGATTGTATTGTGTAGTTCGAATTCTGGCCTGTCGTATGCAGTGTCTCACTTTTCTGGGGAAGCTTCTAGAATTGAAAAAGTTAGTGGGAAAAAAAAGATGACCAGAGAAAGAGAAGTGATCGATTGAAACTGTACATGATTTATCATCTTAGCAACCACGTTGAGGCTAAAATTTCATAAGTGTGTAGCATCTCTTTTCATGATTCTGTAGTGTTTATTCGGCTTAAGCCTTCCAGAGCACATACAAAGAGTTTCAATGCGATCGTTCGTTAACTTTGTGCAAACGAAGTCTTCAAAACAAGAAGGCTCAACAGAGGATCGGCAAGTTGCTAAGGACATTTCCGTATGGTTCACAAGGGTCCGGTCGAGTAACCGCAGCGCACGGTCGAAGTCGTTAATTTCACGTTGAATTGAGTTGAAACATGTGTTTGACTCTTGTCACGGGATCGGTCTATACAGGAGGGTGCAACAAGATGTACAGTACATGAAAAAGTCACACGATGTACAGTGCAGCTTTGCACCTAAGACGCTTTTCAAACTCTTGGCATACAATTTTCCACTATTTTGACATTCACGTGAAGACATGTGCTAATAGCGTTGTCATCAAATCCAATGTAGGTCTGTTATCGAAACTGCTGGATGTATTGTTTGGTACCCGCTTCGTGGTGACAGTCTGCGGATTCCTCTTAGGGGCGTCTGTTATCATCTCGTCTTTCTCTACCAGCGCTTTTCAGATTACGCTCGTCCTATGCTTAATCGCTGGTAAGTAAATCTTTTAATTCCGACTAATATAGGTTTTCTCGGCCAATTTTGGAAAATGTGCGATCAAGTTTGTAAAAAAACAAAAAATCAAGTTAGGGTAGATTTTGAAAACGACTTAAAACCTGGTTTCATTTTCGCAAGAACAAACACTCGACTTCGTTTTGCGTACTTCCAATAAATGAATGTGCATTAAATTTCATTAAAGAGGTTTCAGATACGTGAGGCTGGGATTTCGGATTGACGTATTCCTTGCCAATTACAACAAATGTGCATTCTTATTAGCCGAAAATCTATTTTTTACTGTGTCCCTTCGGGAGTATTCATTTTCATTTGCTAAAATTTAAAATCGTAGAACATACGTTAATTTCATCAGAAAATTGTAATAACTAAATCAGTGCAAAGTTAAACACACATATTTATCTGAAGATAAGTTATTATCAATTTACTGTCCCAAGGCTCTGTCATTCAAAAATTTGTACAATCTTGGTATTCACAAAAACAAACCTGACATCAGTATTGTTTCAGAGTGTTAATAATTAGAGAGGGAACTAGATATGCTGATTTTCAAAGACAATGCAAGCAGCTATTTGCGCATATATATTTTAACTTATCTTATGAAGTACGGCAAAGTTTAATATAAAAGGAATAATTCGTGATCTAGAAACAAGGTGGGAGGCAGTGTCAACATCGGTCCGTCTGATATCAATAAAAATTTATGATCACGAAACTCCACTGCCATGGATTCCTTTTCCAAAAATATAACAATAAAACTTCCAGGAAACACTTTTAGAGGACATTCTTTCCGTTTACTCTATTATTTCACGGCAATAGCTACCCATAAATATAACGTTGCTGTTATCATGTAGATCGGCAACGATTATGGAGTTCACACAACATATTTGTGGCTAACGTTTGCAGCCGCTGTTGCGTGCTTTTTTTTCAGAGCCGTGTTTCTCGAAAAATAGTTTTGACCACAGAGATGTTTCCCGTCGTCTTTTTCGCGTCGTCTTTTCGAATTGGGGAGGCCTACGAGTATAAACGTGGTATTACTGGAAAGCTCATTCGTTTCTCTTTATTCTCATATGTGTAACTAAAAGTCATCAATGGGGATCTTTCCTCATTATGCCATGGCAGGTCACAATTGTACTTGTAATCTCATGTCACGTGACCAATGAGGATGTTGTTATGACAATTGTGATCTGGAACCCTCTTTACATGATGGAGTATGCGTGTGCCCAAACATGAATCAGTTAGATTGACCAGAGTTCCGACGTTGGTCTGTAGAAAACGTGTACATCCCTATATGGAAAAATTAAATATTTAAATATCAATACAAAACAAGGAGATGACGTCATTAATTTGGCATTAATTTTGCAGCAGGGTCTTGCCAGCTGTAACTTTGATTATCGCCAAGTACCCAAAATCTTGCCTCGAAAATGTGTACAAGTCAATAGGCTGAAATAGATTAATTTCATAATTAATAATTAATCCCTTGATGACGTCATGAAGTTTGAACATTGCAAAGGGACTCAGGTGGTGCCAAGAAAAACTGTGTACAAAAGAAAGAGAGTTTGGGGAGAACAACCAAACAGAAAAAAAAGAAAGAAAAACTCTTGACAAAAAGAATGCCATTTTTGCAAAATGCGAAAAAGCCACGACAAAAAAAGACCAACAAGAATGCCTTTTCCTCAAAAATGCGAAAAAGCCAAACAACAGGACAGAAAGAATGTCTTTTGGCAAAGCTGCAAAAAAGCACCAAAAAAAAGTGCAAAAGCAATGCTTTTTCGCAAAATGCGAAAAGGCCAATTAGGCCTACGTTGGGCACCAATTAGACCAAAACATATGCTTTGAAGTTACTGCCTGTTAGATTACATAATATTTTGTGCACAATCACAAGAAAAATGGATCTGAAGTGTAGAATTGGAGATCTGACAACATAATTATATGACCAAGGTTACACAAAGGATGACACCGCTTTGATAATAAATGCTATGTTACTCATTTACACTGTGTCTGTCATCACACTGTTGAAAAATAAAGTTTCTATGATTGAAACGCAGCACAGGTAGGAAGGTCCCCCATCGCCGGTGTTTATAGGTTTTAGGTTCCAGCGCCGGTGTTTATAGGTTTTCTGCAATAATCGATAGTTTCCAATGACAGCATGAATGGTTTATTTCAATCATGAATATTCAACATTAACCAATCAACCAACCGCTTCTAAAAATGCAACTCCTGTTTAGTACACAAACGATTTTTAATCCTTGACAAGGCATATCTTAAATAACACACAGGCAAAATCGCCTGCATATTTTGTGAAATAGCTGAGTTCAAATTAAGATGAATGCAAGATTACAGAAGTGCATTCAATTTCCCGCAAAAATTAACGACAACATACTAAACCAGTGCAATATAAGGTCATTGAACGCTGACTCCATACAACTGAATGTTCCCTACTTGAAATTGGATTTCTTTATTTGTTAAATAGAAACACGAATGCTGCTATTGCTAATCCTTTCACACATTTCCCAACATTAGCTATGAAGACCTATAATAAGAAAGCTGATCAGAATTGATTCAGTGCCCACTTGTCGCTCATCTACGTGTATATTGACAAGCAGCTGTTTCGAAATGAATTAAATTGCGCAAGCACATTCTCAAAAAGGTTATCTCCAAAATGCCTAGCGGCAAGAGGACTTTCTTCGGAATGACAGAATTTTTGACCTAACCAAGGTCTTTGTAGGGTGTTGCGCTTTGATCTGAGGGTTGGGGCTCAGTATTGACAATATATTTATGAGCTTCGTTTTAATATGCAGGGCCTGGTTTGGTGATCCCCAGTATTTTATCGAGAGCCATGACGGGCCGTTATTTCACTACAAACTATGCAACGGTGAATGGGATTGCGACCACAGGAGACTCATTGGGCTTGATCTTTGCTCCGTTGACTCAAGTGCTTTTAGACACCTACGGCTGGCGAGGTGCCTTGCTACTGCTTGGGGCTATCAGCATGCATCTTGGTGTGTGTGGCTTCCTGCTGGGACCTCAGCCACCATCTGCAGTGGCCCAGGACGACTATCTGCTAATAAACTCAAGTGAAGAGGAGCAACCAAAACCAAACATCTATGATAACAAGACAAAATCCCCACTCCGCATCCTGAAGGACGCTGTTAAGGCTCAACGGGACCTTTTGGGCTGCACGGTATGCGGCCACGCTGCATTCTGGATAGTGGCCCATGTCTACGTCGTCCATACCTTCGTCGCCACCCTGTGGCTGATATACTTCGTCCCTTATGCCGAGTCGAAAGGTTTCTCTGGGTACGAGGCAGTGACATTCACCACGGCCGCAGCGATTGCGAACCTGGTTTCAAGGATTCTTGTCGCGTCAATGGTGGACCGAGGCTGGCTGAAGCTACGATTGACCTTGCTAATTTCAATGATTACTTGCGGCATTGCTCTGTTCACCCTTCCCTGGGTGCATTCCTATTGGTTGATGATTGGCAACACTGTCATCTCCCACAGCTGCTTTGGGGCAAGGGCGTCACTTTATGACATTTACACGCGGGAACTGGTGGGAGCCGAAGAACTGGTGTCCGCTTTCAGTTGGATGGATCTGCTGGTCGCTATTATTCAAATCGCTTTAGGATTCCTCCCTGGTAAGGAATACTTGAATACTTACGTGGCTTTTGCTTCTTTGAGAATGAGTTTAAACATAGCAAGTACTTTGTGACGTTGTTTGGGAAATGTAACGGGTGACGGAGAAGAAAAAAAAAACAGTTCTCTGGCAGGACAGACAGCTGAGTAACCGATCTTGCCCTTTTTTCCCAGGTTGGATATTCGACCAGACTGGAAGCTATGATACTGCTTTCATCATCTTGGGGTTAATCTCCCTTTTGCCGTTGGTATCACTGCTCGTGGAAAATGTAATCAACCAACGGAAGAGCTAATGCCATCAATGAATAATCTCAATACCAGCACACTGTCGTAGAAGTTGGTACCTTAATACTTCTACACAAACACCCCTTGCACAAGGGGTTTGTGCAGAAACCCTGTCAGACCGCACGTATCTACTCCTAACCACGTTCAATTAACTCGGCAGGGGAGTTCAGACTCAGTGACTGCTGAAACCGCAGGGTATGCTGAACACACTATACAGTACATGTGTTTATGCATGCTCACAGTGCACATTGATTATGTCGGTGACCAGGATGGTATCAGAAGGCCGTTTCAACCTCTTCTCGTTTTAACCCTCCACTTTTCTGTCGGTTGTAAAAAAAAAAGTAAATGCATGATGTTTCGTCATGGGTGTGGACAGTTACTGTTAAATAAATTTTTGCCAACATTTTCACCAGCTTGATTGCCCCAACCTTGTTTATCACAACTCATCCTGTTTGTTTTCGTTTAGTTGTATTTATAAATTTACAAACCGTGATCACAGAAATTTATGAACATTATAATGCCAACTTTATTAGTTCCTTATCTCATTATGTTGTATACTTTAAGCTTCAACAAAAGCTTTTTCCTTTGTGGAATTCGCTCACTTTGGAAAGGGTTACAGTTTGCGACAATGATCTAAGCTTCATGACTGTCTTTCGTGTTATTGAGTTCAGCTGGGAAAGACCTATAGCGGATCAATGGGCATAATAATTGTTTGAAAATGTCATTACTTTTGCATGGACGACTGGAATTACTGGTGTAATAATTTCGATACGGAGCCCATAAATGGATCAACACTCACATTCTTTGATCAAGATCGAAGACGACGCAAAAAAAAAAAAGGTTGGAACCATTTGACACTTTGAGATCAAGGACTTGTTGCAAGGGAAATGATTTTTTTTTATTTAGGCAAGGAGAACGCCAAAGACGAGCAATATTAAACAGCCTTTCTAAGTTTGTTGTTTGGAGGTAATGCCCTCCGGAATGATAGCAGCGTTGCAGGGTCAGAAGACGTTAAACTATGCTGTAAAATCAAGATGTATACGTCTTCTTTCATTTTCAAATGAGCCAGAAGGTAGAGACTTTTATAGCGACCACGAGACAGGCCTATGAATGAAGCCGAAAATTACACTGAAATGAAACTGATCAGCTGGTCACCTCCAGACAGGAGAAGCACGTGATGGTGAGCAGGCCGCAAGAGAATTCCCTGGCAACATTCCCCTGCTTGCAGAAATAGAACATAATCCAGCCATTCTTGACAGCTACAGAGTTCCAAGTTGGAAACGGTGCACTTCCACATCACATCAGAAAGCGAGGCGCAGAGAGGAAAAGCAACAAGTCATTGCATAAGACAGTTACAAGTATTGAAAAAAAGATGTAACAACCCAGATCCCCGAAATTTTGACTGCCGATCCAGAGAAATTGCCAAAAGATTACAGCAGCAGAGGGAGAGTGTCATGGGCATTGCACGCGATATTAATTTTGGTGAGAAAGAATATTTCTTTACGACGTATGGCTTTGACTGTAGCCTGCAGAAAGGGGAAATAAATGAAAACGTGGCTGCTTGGAATGGCCTTCACGAAAGGCGACATAATTTCTATTTTGAAGATGATAGAATCGAGAGATGGATTTTCTCTGTATGATGACATTGTCCAGGTTAACTCTGCACGGCATTTCCATGTTTCCATGGAAATAATGGAGCATCTCCAACAACTATTGCCTGGTTTCTTTGCTCCTAGAAGACAAACTGCCACTGTGAAAGTTGAGATGAATGCAGAGTTAGCTATTCTTCATCCTAAGCACAGAGGCAGTGTTGCATCGTGTTTCAAACTTATGTACTGATTGGAGGTTTGAGTATTGAGAGGACACGCTAGAACAGTTTTGTGTCGCAAATAAAGATATGCTAAGCCTGTAAAACAACGCAGGATAATAAAAGCATGCGTATAAATGGAAAAATATGCCAAGGGATACGACCCGATATGCATCGGTGAATTCAAACAATACTACTTATTAATTCCCCACTTGACTGATCGTGTTCATGTACGGTGGTATTGTTTGATAATAAATAATAAATTAATAAATAGGAGTGGGTTTCGGCTCGGTAATTTAAAACCCACGCTTTCTTCAATAGAATCCCTTAGGCCTATTTCGTGGGATGGACTGTGTACAAACATAAGGATAACAAAAGAAAAATGCTGAAATTAAAATTTCAATGAATGGAAACCGAATATCAGGAGTTGTACAATAGGCAGGCTCTCATACATGTGATGAATGAGAGCTTGAGATGTCAAAATGTAACAAATTTGAATGCCAGTTTTAGTCTTAGTCCTTTGTAATTACAGTCTTCAATCGTCATTGTAAGATCCCAATGGAGTGATTTTCTTGCAGCTCTGTGAATAAAATAAGTCCCTTTTAAATTAAAGCTTATTTAATAAAATTTTGGACCCTTCTTTAAAACCTTTGACTATACAAATACATAGTTAGGGGACGAATAACTGAGGCCCAGGCAGCTTTATAGAATTTATGTCTCCAGCAGATTTCAATAATTTGGGTATGGCAGAAACAAACCCTTTAGACGGCCTTTTGCGGCTTTTAGATAATTGATACAAGAAAAAATTCACTCATAGTCCAGTCCACGAGACGTGGGTTTGATTCTTTTTTTCCATGCAATGTACCGGTAGATAGACGGTTATTTAAAAAGTCTGTTTCCTGGCGAATTTTTCTTTCTTTCTTAGTTTAAATTAATTTCTTTCTTTGCGTGGTAATTTGTTGATAATAATTTATCACTTGTACAACTCACCAACACAAGAAACGTGTTTTGCAATTAATGAACAAAATTAATGCCAGGCACGATTGTATCATCGACCAGTCATCCAAGGCTAATTAGTGAATCCGTTCTTGTTTCAGTATGATTGTTGATGTTTGCTATGAAACGGCTGCCAAAGACAGGGAAAGGAGTTTATACAGGAAAAGTGGCCATGTCTTGAAAAGAGTATATATTATAAATCAATGCCACACCATGTACTATTAGGGCAATGTTCATGATAAACATTGTACATAAAATAGTCAAACTCAGAATAGCACATTGAAAGCATTTTACAAATCAACTTTTTTGCTTATCACAAAAAGGGTGTGGGATGATTCCACGGCCCATCACCCCACCACCAAAGGTGGGGAGATACATACCCTACCCCCTCAGGATTTGTGTAAATGAGAAAAATAAATTATTGGCAACAGTTCTTTCCAACATTACTTAGTCTAAGGCCCGCCCCCAGGAAATGCTGTGTCAATACTATGGAGGTGACTGTACAACATTCTATGTTGACCGGTCATTGCTGTTATACCCATTTCACTTTGTTAACCAATCAACTATGGCGATTACCTGACCGCAAATAACGTGGGCTACTGCCCGTAGCAGCCTGCAACCCCCCCCCCTCTCGTTTTTAATGACAAAAACCGCAAAACCCATTATAAAGAGTAAGTTAGGACAGGATTAAGCATGGATTAAGGTACCAACCTTTACGACAGTGTGCTGGTAATGTGGTTGTGCCCAGATATGTTGATGGTGTTTGTTGTCGTATTGTTTTGATTTTAACCCATGAATAGGGGGGGGGAATTCCAAGGAAACGGTTGTGCAATGACCATTTACACAAGGTAGGTATGTGCAACTTCAGCTCAGAGCTGGTTCCAAGCGTGTTACGGCCGGTAAAGTATCAAAGTAGAAATTACATTAACATGTCGCTGGATTACGCGAACATACAACACCCATCACATATTTGATGAATAACGCTGATGTCACGCACGCCAAGCTGCAGTCAAAATCGCGTCTACTGCTCGTGGAAAGCAGTGCTTAAAGTTTCGTTTCTTTTAATTTTTGAGTGTTGTAGTTCAGAGTATTACCTTTTTTACGTATGGTACTGAAGGTATTTTATCTTGTACATTCTGAGAAAAGTATACAACAAAATTATTTGTTTAAATGGGATTATATTTTCCGTCGACTTTCATAGTGGATGGGGGGAACACATGTATGTATCAGCCATGTTATTAAAATATGTAAAAGTTATAAATGTCTGTTTAAAACCTTCATAAAAATAAAAATTACATAAAACAGTACAATAGGACATTCTTGGGTGTTAAATCTCTGAAATATCCCTGCTATTGGTAGCACAAATAGTTTCCCAGTAGATGGCACTTAATACTATTGTCAGATATTTTCTCAGACGGTGACAAAAATATTGCTTCCAGGTTCTATCTTTTAATTAAAATGTTTTTAGCTGATTATATAAGTCCAAGACACAAAACGTTACTTCTGAATGTGTGACTCCGTCCTCAAAAAGGAAATAAACAATACTATTGAGCCGCTTTTGAGAGAAATGAACCACAGTTTTCTGAATATCTAATTGGTAATAAATGTAAACGGCAGTCACATTTTGAGAATGATGTCCTCAGTTACGCGTATTCCAAGGATTACCACAAAGACAATGAAACTGATTCGTTAAGAACTCTTACGGCAAAAAAGAAAATTCTAAAGCTGACTGAACTTTCTGCATGTATTTCTTTTCTCTTTAAAAGTGATAAAGACCAGATCGTCAAAAGAAACAAGTAAATTGAAACTTAAGAACAGTGTAGCATGGGAGCGAGTTTTCTTGAAAAAAGTCGGGAACAATCTATAATTGTGCATGGAACCGAGATGGTAGGTGTTCTTGCCATGGAGCCGGTTGCAGCTGCACATGCATGTTTAAAATGGTCCGTGGTACTATGAAGAAGTGGCTTTGGAGTAAACTTTCTTTTCAGTTTAAATCCATCAAAATAAGTGTTATTATTTATAGGGGGGGGTTCAAATGGGTGATTTCTTTTGAACGTTGGGTGTACGGCTTTTTGTGGCCGCAGAAACTACGAAGTTGTGTATTTCAGTGTAGGAAAACAGGATGCAATCGATTTTGTCAGAAATGAAGCTTGACTTTGGAAAGCTAAAAGTCAGAGTTAGTAACAAATCAATTTGTGCAAGTCCAAGTCAAGTCACAAATCAATTTTTGTAAGTCTAAGCCTAGTCACGGGTTATTTCGTCCAGTCACAACGAAGTCAAGACACAGGTCGTTTGATCACAAGTCAAGCCAAGCCACAATTCAATTTGGTCCAAGCATACGCAAGTCACACTAGTCCTTTTATCTATAGGGGATCCATAGTTTAAACTTCCCGGCTATAACGTCTGGCCAATTTTTACCCCTTTCTGGCATTCCTGATATGTCCATTGCCAGAGCGCAGCGAGCGCTTGCTTGGCACCATGTTTCCAAACCGCAAGACCCCTTTGTACCCTATGCATCCTTAAACTTTGTATACTGAGGTATAAGAATTGAATATTCTTCATTTATTCGCGCTTGGTATATAATTCCATAACAACATCAAATTTAATGTTTGCCCAGTTGCTTGCATTACACTGTGTACCCTAATTGTACATGTTCTTTTATTGTCCTTAATGGATGCTTTCTTTTGGAGTTATATTTTGGAATAAATAGCCCTGATGTTTACAAGATTTGTGTTATGTTTGAATCGTTTTTATTGTGGCATTTGTACCAAAGCGTATTTTACGAGATTTCGTGATAACTCCCTGTGATCAAATACCGCATTTTATTCCCTATGAGCTTAGTTTTCCAGAATTAGTCCACGTTTTATTGGCAAATTTCCTACCAAGTCCTTGAAAACTAATTTATGAGATGGAGGATAATAAAATTACAAACTTTGCATAGATAACGGAACAGTGTTTCAAAATTTACCAAAACAAATTATTTACCATGGTAAAAGTAGGCTTAACATCACAGATTTTTCTGTCTCTATTTTATGGTCACAGCAATAATTTGTACGGTATTTAATTGCCAGCAAAATACTACATGTATTGCTAGGGCAATACTGGTTCCGCTTGTTTGGCTAAAATGGAGGCAGTAATCGGTCGCTTTTGGAATGTTTTGTATTATTCGCCTGACTCAGCGGCGACGATCCTTGTACACTTTGAAGTGACAGAGTTGCAACTTACTCTTTTTGAGTTCTTCCTCAATGTTTTGTCCACATACAAGTCAGGTTGCATTATGTGTGATTTGAAGCAACAGCCTAGTCAGGATTCTAAGATCTTCCATATTCCTCAATCTGCGAAACAAACCACACAAGAAGATTGAGGATATTTTTTCTGACCAGGTGTGGACAAGACTATGGTAAATTATTATTATTAAAGGTAAAAAAAATAAAGAAAGGACAGAAGCAAATGAATTAATACCAATTGACAAAGAGGGCATCTGGTCTTTAGCTTAGCTTGGAAAACAGCTTCCCAGTTTAAATTTGAATGGGCGCCATCAAGATCATGATGGAGATCCCCGCCAAGCAGGAAACTCCGATCTCTAGCCAGCACAAGACGATCATCACAGTCAGCTGGATTGGTGCTGTCCACAAGTAAGTTATGAACAAAAAGACCCGTCAAACAGAAACATTATATAGATTCGGACAGAATAGATATTACAAGAATAAGCTGAAACAAGATGTGACCTGTCACAACAAAATGAGAGTAAAGTCGAATCTCGTTCTTTCCTATTTTGAGGGTTGAAGTGGAAGTCATTTTTTTCGGTTTTGTTTTATTTGGAAAGAGCAGCCGGTCTCCTGTATAATTCCAAATATTCTGCTGGATCGTATGTTGGCAATGGTCATGTTCTAAGCAATCTTGACGACAGCATTATTGGTCTGAAATAGTGGAAATACGCCGGGAACAAAGATGCAGAGCTGCCAGAAATAAAATGCGACTTAGTCACCCAATACTTTTACCCAAATTGTTCCATGTAAATACCACTGGAAAGACGTTTTATGCTGAGTTCAAAAACAGCAATAAATCAGTGTTTGACAATTCGGACTTTCAGCTCATTTGGCGGTGACAGGTCACATATGGGAAAGCAAAACAGTAAGTTTAAAAAGACTCATTGCTAGAAAAACAATCCTGCATGCGTACATTAATACTAACGACGAACAACAATAAGCACATGCGCAAATCCGCGTAAAGCCGCATTGATAGGGCAGACCTCGCAGGCATGTCCGAATGACCTCTTATGCGCGGTTGGAGTACCGAATTGGTTCATATTAATTAAGGACTGAAATTACAAACTGACTTGAGGGGGGCATTACTCGTGACACTCTGTTTGCTAGTGCACCTCTGACTTGGCATGGGCAACCGATGAAACATTTCCCATACTTGCCTGATCAAATCTGTTGACGTCATTGGACAGGATGTTCACTAGCTGACCAACTGCTGTTTCTCCAAGAGCAGGGTAATTGCTGACTTTTAGGGCCTTCAAAACATGCAACATGCATTTTATGGGGGCAGTATATCTGATAAAGATATACATCTGTGTAATGTTTATGAAATTCATGCAGAGTCTCACATCAGAATGGTATATTAATAGCTTTTAGAAATGAAATTGCTTTTCTTTTTTTTTTGATATTGCAAACATTAGTCGTTGGGAAATCCTGAAAATTCTTCACAATCCACTTTAATTTGTATGCTCGTCACAAAAGAAGTGGGGAAGGGAATATTTACCCCCCTCCCGGATTTACGCCCATACTTGACACTCCGTGCACTATCAGTTAGTCTCATGCAGGTCTATGCTTTTTTATATTCTCCGCTTAATTTGACTTGTTAGGACATAGGCCTATATGGCCTATTATCAACTTTTAATGGCGGCCTCTGGGCGACGGTCAACACCTGTAGGGAAAGTGTAATCTTCCCCTGATTTGTCGCAAGAAGTGATTGTATGGTTTGTAGATACCAGATTTGGAACTATGAAAGACTCTCGGTAAAGCCGCCTACAAAGAAAAATCGACAAAAATGGCGACAGATCGATAATCCACTCTCAATCAAACACAGGCACAATCGATTTGTTTGCAGTAATCGGTGGAGGGCGCTATGCGCTCAGCCAATTGTAAATAATGTAAATATTTTAGGGCCTAGGTAGTGCGAAGACACAGCGGACACGCTACTCGCTTAGTCGAAGCGCTTATTTTTTCGTCTTTCTGGAATAATAACTGTTGACAAAGATAGCGATAAACTAGGTGTAATGTGTGAAACTCTGGACCTTGTGCACTGAAGCGGAGGAGACAACGAGTATTTTTCCATCCTGAAAATGTGAAATGATGCGGCATATGAATTAATGATGGCTCTGTCACCGCAGGAACGAACATGGGTGCAGTTGCAAGAGAAGTAAGGTCATCAATGGTCGTCGTTTAATTTGTCATGGTCATCATGGCGTCGTTGTCATAGAAACTGTTACGAGCCTTGAGGAGGCTTGTCTTCAAGAAGGCGTGTGTTTTATGGTTTTCATGATCACCACGACCTTGTTTACATGTAGGACGGGTTGAGCTAAATGTTGTGTTTAGTAATAATACTGTGAACGGCCTACTGTACATGATGGATCATCTGATCGTGGTGGAATGTGATTTCCCAACGAAAAAACAGAAAGGCAACTCGCCTGGGTGTGATTTTGTTGGTACCTGTAAGGTCAAAGATTGTCCAGTATCACATCCACACCACCAAAATCACAATTGAGCCAGAAATCACATCCAGGAAAGCCCAAAATCACATTGTGATTAAATGGTTTTTTGGTGTTGGCAATGCATTATGGGTTTGGATGATGACAAACATGCAATGCATTTTATGCACAATCCTATGGGAGAAGCTAGTGTACCTGCGAAAGGTTAATCATTTCCATTTTTTATTGTATACACCAATTCAAGCTGTGCTCTTCTGACACAGTGAATGATTTAGAATGGAGATACATGAATGTACAAACTTCAAAGTTTAAAGCTTGGCAGAAAAGGACAATTCAGAGAATCTCTTCCAACGATGCCAATTTTTGTCCTGCACCGTGCTTTGACCATGGAGGAAGTGTTCCTTCCTCCATGCTTTGACTAAGATCGTGAATAGGAATGCTGCAGTAGGCTTATTGTCCAATCAGACTCACAACTTGTAGCTCATTCATGCCACATTGACCTGTCATTTTATTTTCAGCCTGTAGAGTGACCGATGCCCTTTTTTTTATAATAGAGACAGTTATAGGCCTAAGGGTGATTTCTTCGCACAAACATATGAAAACCTATCTGAAAATGTTCTGGTAATCTGATAATCGCATGCATCTGTGAGTTGATGAGCAGATCCATTAAAATGTTCAGTAGAAAACTGTAAATTAATTGCTGACTGGTTCACTGCCCCCTTAGAGTTGTGCATAAAATGCATGGCTTATTTGTCTCCAAACCAATAATGCATTGCGAACGTCGAAAAGGTTTATTAGACTTCAACAACATACATGTAATCCTGTCGTTTCTGGCTTGGATGTCATCTCAGATAAACTCTGCCAAATCACATTCTAGGTTTAATATTTCATTCACCCTAGTCACCTTTCCAATTTGTACAGAAATCACGTACCGTGCCATTCACAATGTTAACAATGGCCCTGTTGTTACTCCATACATGTGCATGTAACATGAATTTCAGGGGTGAATCAATAGGCCTAGGCGGTATGTTCACAATCACAGTTATGGCTCCGTAAGTTACTAGGCCGTAAACAAATACATAAGGCCCTGTTTACCAGTCTACATGTACATGTATGTACACGTACAGGTGCATACGTGTACGTGTACATGAAGTGTCTCGCTTTGGGGTACTTAACACACTTGTGCATGTTTTCAAATCCTGTACAGTGTGTGACTTTAGTGACTCATGTTTTCAGATTTCCATGACTTACATGTGGCAGAGCAAATTTTGGATTTGGCCATCCCCTTCCCCGCAGTCCCTGGCACAAATTGATGCCAAGTGGTTCCACCACTGAACTTTGTGTTGGTGTTTGCATCACCATTTGCTATCATTATCTTGTGGATCAGCTTCCGGTATCCACAAGCTTGCTGAATCCAGGTGTACAGTAGTTTTTGTTTGAGTCATCATGGAGGAAATGCCAGGTTAATGGAAGCCTACTTTTGATGAGTTCTTGTCAGGTCACAGGTGGGAACCTAAAAACCTGGAAAGAGGTTGAGAAAGTTCCAATTGAAATTTGATGTAATAGGCCCGTTTTTAGAATAAGGAGTTGGGTCAGCCCAACTGCAGCATTGTCAGCTGCAATGCAGTGAATGTCCTTTGGTTGTAACTCTCTCTACATGTACATGCGTGCACAAGTGCTGCTGGATGCTCATGTGGCATCCGATGCTCCAATATGTGATTGGCGTTCCTTACTTTCAGCACCCTGTTGCTACATGTACATGTATAAAGAAAAAAGTCTACTTTTTGGAAACAGCGCACCTACCTGTAGATATAAGTTGGAAGTGATTTCCTCTGGGCAGCAGTAATCCAGTCACTTAGTGGAATGAGGATAGGGCTTGGATTTCTCAGGGAAATTATGGGGTAAAACGGCTGTGTAGATGTACATGACGCAAAACAGAGGTGTGAGCAAAGACGACTGAGCAAGTAGTCTGATTCCTTGACTTGAATGAAGATTTTTGATGACTGTTGTTGAACCTCTGTATGTATATTGTGGGGTTCGTACTAAAATACCGTAATGTCAAAATTTACCTAAACTAGAGCTTTTAGGATTAAGGAATGGATGGGCAAGGCCAACTGTCAATTAATTTGTAAGAGCAGACTTTGTTTCCATGTTGTAGGTTGAGAGAGGTTGAGAGGTTGCTTCACTGTCATGACTGTTTGATCTTTGCGTATACATGTACATACAGCGTACATAAATGCACCTTGTACAATGTACATGTATGTGTGCAGGGCATGTACATGTACGTGGCCCTGGCCATAAAGGAGGCCACCAGTGTGTAAAGATACATTACAACTTGGGATGGATGTGCAGTTGGGACCATCTCCGCATGTACATGTATGAGGTTAAGATGTAACATTGCCAAAATCATGGTGGAGCTAGTTCTTCCATTCAAAAGAACATAACCAAACTGAGGCTGGGAGGAAAAATAGTCAGCTCCCTTTTATCAATAGATGTACATGTATGTAAAGTTGCATTACGTTTGCCAGTTGGTCTGCTTGGAACAAGACAAACAGTACAAACATATGTGGCATCTTGATCAAGGTTTATTAAAGCAACACATGGTGCAGGCTGCATCAAAAATTAGAGCAGTGGCCGGAGGTGTACAACAGCACATCCTTATACCTTCGTTACTTCTGACCTCAGCATGTTGACTTGAGCAAGGCTTTACAGTGATGGACAAACTACATGTACCCATTCAATCCATCTGTTTTTTAAGTTTTCGCAGAAAGCGCCAGGCACATACAGGCAGCCGGCAACTGGACCAGCAAGGAAGGCACTACGGCAGGTACAAGAAGGCCCCAACGGTGCCATTGCCAAGGTAACATATTCTTTGTAAAATTGTCAGTTGCACATGTTACTAAAGCCTTCCCCCTTCGTCCCACTCTCCTTTGATACCATCCCCCCCATCAGCTTAATGATCATTTTAGTCATTGACTCAGTGCTCATAGACTCAGCACTCGAGTGTGGACCCTTTGACAAAATGCTGCTTTTTGAAAATTGTGTGGACTTAACCGCCAAGTCCACACAAGATTAAACCTGTTTTCTAGAAACGAGGTAGAGTCTTTTCATGCTTTTAGGGATTAGGTTATCGTAGCAAGAGGTAGTGAACAGTCACGGAAAAGCAACAAAAATTCTTCTTAAACAAGTGTTCACAGTACAAGAAAAGTTGATATTTTCATTTGTGATTCTAAGTAACTTGTGATTTCTAAGTATGGTGGCAAAAGCAAAACTCGGCAATGCTTAACTTAAAAAAATAATATTTAAGTCTTAATCTAAATCAATTCTAAATAAACGGAATTGCAAATGTGCAATTTGAGGTACATGTACATGTAGGCGTGAATTACGTTTGTCTTTGATTTGGAAGTTATTCAAACTGAAAACAGTGTTCTGACTGCTTAACATTTTGCCTTTGGTTTGTTTGTTTGCAGGATTGTTGATTCACCCTCTGATGCTCCCTTGCGTGGGAGTCACTACCCAGTTATACCCCCAGTGGCTAATGATAGGTACAGTACAGGATGCACCTGCTTATCTGTGCCCTAGACATTGCATGGGTGTGTTTGATCCTCCGGGGAAAGTGTGAGGGGGAATTATCTATTGTAAGTCTTTGGTACATTTACACTGCAGTCCAAACTGAGAGTTCTGCACTCCTGTTGCTTAAAATAAAGTGAAACATGTAAAAACAACAACACTTCATTCTTAATGAATTCTAAATAAACGGAATTGCAAAAGTGCAATTTGTGTTACATGTACATGTAGTCATGAATTAAGTTTATCTGTGATTTGTGAGTATATCGTATTTTTAAAAGTTACCTGCTGTTTTAAATCTGATTGTACGCAACCAGGGGTGCAGTGGTTGTAATGGAAGAAGAAAGCTGGTGAATCTTTACACAAGAGATCTCAAACTACAAAATTTAATGCTCTTGTTTAATCTTGCTTACAAAAGACGTAACCCAGCTGTACATGTATATGGATTGGTTAGTGATAGCTTACAACTTCTGAAGGCCTTTTCTGTGACAGAATGGAAAAAAGAAAACTATATCAAATGCCTAATGCATTTCCTTTGTTTTGTTTGACATTTCATTTCATTAGATTTTACAATGATGATACCTTCAGTCTGCAAAGCTACAATTCAGACGTGGGCCAGTTAGAGGACTTTGATGACAGTCATGTATACTCCCCACCCCAACTGCAGAGTCCCACCTTTTCATATAGTGAAACAGCTAGGGGTCGCCATAGAAAACCACAGGTTCACCGTGACCCTTGGAACTCTTCCACTCGAGTCAGAGGGGAGCCCAGGCCATTCATGGACCACACTTCTCACCTGATGGCAAGACACCAGGATACAAATGTGGATGGGAGCATACACAGACGCAGGGGGGCAGGGAGGGGCCCCAGGGTGGGGGGTTTTCAAGGCCGGCATGTTTGGAAGGACCTGACCAAAGAGGAGCCGGCAGAAGATGAGTCTGCAACTGTCGTGCAGAGACACTTTAGGGGCTACCGTACAAGAAAGGTATCAGTCGAAAGCCTGTAGTTTCCATACGTTACATGTACATGTTGCTGCTTACAATGTGCAAGAGTCAAGACACAGTCATGGAAGAGACACTTTATGCAGCACAAAGTGGCACCCAAAGCTCCAAAATGTTTTCCATGAACTACTTGCTTGTAGAGGGTCACACCATTTGTAGAGGCCTAACTGGTACTTGGCTTACATGTAAATATTTCATTGCTGTGGTGATGTTCAGTTAGATTTGGGGGGGGGGTCGTGAAGAGAGAATGGGCAAAAAGTGCGGTGCTCAGACGAGAGTGACTCTGTATGCCTACATGTACATGTTCATGTATCTCACTACTGTCCAGATGATCATGGTCCAACATTTCCGACTGTTTCCTCTGTTTAGTGCAAGTACCGGGGTACATATGTCAGGGACTGTCCAGCACTGCACTCTACACCTGTCTGAATTGATGGGCTGAACGTGCCCAAAGACGTTTCACTTGTTCTTTAATATCCTGCGTGGTTCTAAATTTTGCAGGAAACCTTGGAGAAAAATGTCATGGGAGTCAGGGTGATTTTCGTTTGATTTTTTTGGGTTTTTTTTTTTTGGTGTAGGGCCTCAGGTTGCTGCACCATCTCCAGAACCCCAGCTTCGCCGTCAGCTTCATGCATCACTTCTTGAAGGATGCCTTGCAGAATGACCTGATCCTGGACATCGCTTGCGAGGTGCTGGTGGAGGAACGCCAACAGGTGATGAGTTGACGCAATCACTTTTATAACCCTCACCCACAAAGTCTGTACCTTGAGTGGCCTGGTTGTATTGCCACATTTGTTGGTTTTGCACTCTCGGGATGAAGTGATACATGTGGAGACTTTGCAAATCAGGTAACAAGATCCAGAAACTTGCATTTTCAAAAAAACAAAAAAATACTGCATTCACAGAGCTCAATCTTTGTCTTGTTAATTTTAAAGTACCCATCTTAAGGTTTGGAATGTTTTTTTAAAATTTTCATATAAAAAGAAAAATATGCTGATACATGTATGCGCAAATGATAAACGGCCATTCTACTATAAGACCCAACAGGTCAAAACTGTAAACAGCTAACGACGATAGTTTCACCACGGACCATTTACACTTTCTCTAATAACTGAATAATAAAACATATATTCCTGTCTACCATTTTGTTTTCTTCTAATAATTTAAGTCAGGGTACATCCTTTCTAAAAATATGCTGCTCAAGATATTTCATGCTATACATTCTGAGAAAAGTGTACCACAAAATTGGGGAATTTTGCCTCATTAAAACTTCATTTCTCCTTGAAATCGATGAATGAAGAACATTTATTCATCTAAATGAAAAGACTTAAGCACCGCGTTGGCGCGTCGGCTCAGCATAATCACGGCTGCACTGTACTTGCTGCATGCTGCAACGGGTGTCGTGTGTTCGCAAGTTTTTTCAAGAAAGTCGAGAGCGCCTGTGGGGGTAATAACAATCCGTAACACGCACGGAACCAAGGTCACACATGTGTTTGCGCTGGGGCCGCTCGCGGTTGCACATCCCTGGGTAAATGGTCCGTGGTTTCACATAACGGACACACATACCAGATGTCACCAAAGTGGTAGGGTTGTGAAGAATTGAAGTAGGTTGCTTTTTGAATCAACTGGTACTTTTATTTTTTGTCTCACCAGGTGAACTCTTTAACTCCATGTCTGTTTAATCTGTGATTGATGTAATACATTTACAAGCAGCTTTGTTGTGCAGTATCTTAATGGTGTATGTGGTTAGCCTTGAATTCAGCAGTCTGTTAAGACATTCGTTAACCCTCCTATGCTGAAGTCACTCTTTGGGTCACTTGGTAAACACCTCAAAGAAGCACAGCTGTGTTGTGCACTGCACCAACAGTCCCTCACAGGAATATCAGATTGCACTTTGGTGCTGCCCAACAACTGTGCTTCGCTGTTTCATGTACATCATTGTGCAGTATACCAAATGCAGTGAAGAGGACTGCACAAAAGACCCTGGGTCATTTTGTGCTGGCAACTAACTGTGTACACACTGAACCTGTGCATGTTGGTGTTCCATATAGAAAATACATGCTCACCAGTGAGTGTGGGCATTTGTGCACATTTGTGCTGTAAAACCAAAGGAGGGTTAACGTAAGTGAACAAACTCTTGAAGTATCTTTTTTTGTTCATGCTGAAACAGGTTGTGCAGGCTGGCCACGCCCAGGTCAACAGGCTTGCTATCAGTAACACCCCATCTCACGATTCAAGGTAACACAGGCGTCGATCAGTAATCTTTTCTTGGTTCACGGACACCAGAAACCACATAATGGACAGAGGGAACCAGGCTTTGGGATCACTGATAGAGATCCAGGTTCCTGTGAAACAAACAGTCCCAAAGCTATGTATATTAATCTAAAGAGACAACATTAATGCCAAAATTAGCATAAATCACACTCGTTCTTGAACTTCATGTGCATATGCCATTTTGCAAACGTTACAAACGAACACCATGCATATCTATGTTTTGAGTTGGGAAGGGGGGAAAACCAGGGGCATTTCTCAGAAGCAACCGTCCATAGAGTATCCAACTCCAGAATGAAGATGCTTGTGCCACCTCTGAGGAGTTGTTTCTGCTTTTGGTGTTGTCCAAAGTGGAAGTTTGCCCATCAGCCTGAATCCTCCTTCCTGCCGATGAGGGGGCGTATCGGATCTCCAGAAATGCTGTTACGGTTTGTGTGGGGTCCCTTCAAAACTTTCCCCAAAGCATGTGACACACGGTTTTCCTGAGATGGGTCACCTTTTCCGTAGGCAAGGCGGTTGTTAGCAAATGTATGCTGTGTATTGTAAACCTGACGGCAGGGCATATTTTTACATCAAATAACAGTGAATTCTTTCTTGAATGGCACAATCGGTCACCATTTGTTCTTGTCACTGTTCTGATCCGGTACATTGTATTGGCTCCATGTTTTACCTTGGGCTTGTGTCATTTAGAAAGTTTTGAAGGCTTGCATACAGTGGAAATCATGTCGCTGTGGTCTTGGGCTAGGACATTACGGGATCGATGTACATGTACATGTATGTTATCAGTTCGTAATTTGAGTAAGTGAGAGTGCCCTACTTTATGTAACCAACTTCATGTTCTCTACATCTTTGCTCATGCAGACACTGGGTGGAGGCTTTGCAGCGTCCAGACATTCCCAGGCAGGTTGCTGCCGGCCTCATGAATGACGTTATTCAGGAGGAGTCGCGGGTTGTCGTCTTGCATGGGGTCAACGAACTCCTGCAGGACTACTTTGATACCAAAGCCGTGGCCGACGCCACCCGGATCATTGTGACAGAAGTCCTGATGGAAATGATTCCGGGTTCGGTAAGAAATGCCACTTCCAATAGATTATTGAAACACCAGAAATATGATTTTTGTCAATCAATCAATCATGGATTTCTAGTCCCTTTATGTAATAGAACATTCATGAATGCCTCAGACTGTCTCCCAATTCAACAACGTGCAACTTGACCATTTATTAACATTTGCGTAAATCACTCGCTGACCCCCTGGATATGAGACAGTTTAATCGATTCTGATTGGTCAAGAGTCTGTGTGCACGTGGCTCGCCACGCGCGTGTCAATTTGACAATTTGCACAAGGAATATTCCATAAAATGGACAGGGGTGTTCAAGAAAATGAAAGTAAAACTCTGGAACAAAATTGTTTGAAATCCATCATATATTGACTTCTTTTCACTCTCTGACAAAGAAGGTATTCATGAATGGGAATAAATATGTGCCAGTCTCAAACTGGCATTTAAGACCGGCTTAGGAGACTGAACACTGATAATGCCCTCGCCTGTGGCTCGGGCATTAGTCACATCCGTCCTCCGTAGCTGGTCTTGAATGCACGTTTAAGACCAGCCAAGCACGTAGTTATTCCCTCTTGTTTCTGACGTACCCACATGTACCAGTGCAGAATTCTGTGATCTTTAACTGCCCACAGAAATCGTCCAAGCACTCTTGGTGAAGTCGAAGTGGTTACTCATCAGGCTTTCATCCCGCACTGAAATATCTGCCTGTCCCTTCCCAGCCATTGCTGAAAAATTGCCTGTCCGCTCTCAGGAAAACTTTTGAAACTGATGCCCCTCAGTGCTATCTGAGATGGTATTTCTCTGGCACCCAATTGTCTTGGAGGAACTGTATGACTTCTTGTAAAACAATGGGGCGTGTAAATTTTAAATTGCCTGCCCACATTTATTTTGCCTCTCCTCGCATTAGGTCGATAGATGGCTAAATTGGACCCTCCCTGCCTCTTTAACCATTCAGATCGGAGGAAACAGCTGACATTCTCAAGAGTGTTTGCCTAGCAAGTAACTGATCAATTCCACCACCCTCCCCATTTAGNTGTTCCATATAGAAAAAACATGCTCACCGGTGACTGTGGGCAATTGTGCTGTAAAACCAAAGGATTGTCAACGTAAGTGAACAAACTCTTGAAGTATCTTTTTTTATTCATGCTGAAACAGGTTGTGCAGGCTGGCCACGCCCAGGTCAACAGGCTTGCTATCAGTAACACCCCATCTCACGATTCAAGGTAACACAGGCGTCGATCAGTAATCTTTTCTTGGTTCACGGACACCAGAAACCACATAATGGACAGAGGGAACCAGGCTTTGGGATCACTGATAGAGATCCAGGTTCCTGTGAAACAAACAGTCCCAAAGCTATGTATATTAATCTAAAGAGACAACATTAATGCCAAAATTAGCATAAAGCACACTCGTTCTTGAACTTCATGTGCATATGCCATTTTGCAAAGTGTTGCAAACGAACACCATGCATATCTATGTTTTGAGTTGGGAAGTGGGGAAAACCAGGGGCATTTCTCAGAAGCAATCGTCCATAGAGTATCCAACTCCAGAATGAAGATGCTTGTGCCACCTCTGAGGAGTTGTTTCTGCTTTTGGTGTTGTCCAAAGTGGAAGTTTGCCCATCAGCCCGAATCCTCCCTCCTGCCGATGAGGGGGCGTATCGGATCTCCAGAAATGCTGTTACGGTTTGTGTGGGGTCCCATCAAAACTTTCCCCAAAGCATGTGACACACGGTTTTCCTGAGATCGGTCACCTTTTCCGTAGGCAAGGCGGTTGTCAGCAAATGTATGCTGTATATTGTAAACCTGACGGCAGGGCATATTTTTACATCAAATAACAGTGAATTCTTTCTTGAATGGCACAATCGGTCACCATTTGTTCTTGTCACTGTTCTGGTCCGGTACATTGTATTGGCTCCATGTTTTACCTTAGACTTGTGTCATTTAGAAAGTTTTGAAGGCTTGCTTACAGTGGAAATCATGTCGCTGTGGTCTTGGGCTAGGACATTACGGGATCGATGTACATGTATGTTATCAGGTCGTAACTTGAGTAAGTGAGAGTGCCCTACTTTATGTAACCAACTTCATGTTCTCTTCATCTTTGCTCATGCAGGCACTGGGTGGAGGCTTTGCAGCGTCCAGACATTCCCAGGCAGGTTGCTGCCGGCCTCATGAATGACGTTATTCAGGAGGAGTCGCGGGTTGTCGTCTTGCATGGGGTCAACGAACTCCTGCAGGACTACTTTGATACCAAAGCCGTGGCCGACGCCACCCGGACTATTGTGACAGAAGTCCTGATGGAAATGATTCCGGGTTCGGTAAGAAATGCCACTTCCAATAGATTATTGAAACACCAGAAATATGATTTTTGTCAATCAATCAATCATGGATTTCTAATCCCTTTATGTAATGGAACATTCATGAATACCTCCGACAGTCTCCCAATTCAACAACATGCAACTTGACCATTTATTAACATTTGATAATTGCCGGCTTGAAGTGGGAAGTGATAATGCCCGCTGCGTAAATCACTCGCTGACCCCTGGATATGAGACAGTTTAATCAATTCTGATTTATCAAGAGTCTGTGTACACGTGGCTCGCCACGCACGCACCAATTTGACAATTTGCTCAGGGAATATTCCATAAAATGGACAGGGGTGTTCGGAAAAATGAAAGTAAAACTCTGGAACAAAATTGTTTGAAATCCATCATATATTGACTTCTTTTCACTCTCTGACTAAGAAGGTATTCATGAATGGGAATAAATATGTGCCAGTCTCAAACTGGCATTTAAGACCGGCTTAGGAGGCTGAACATTGATAATGCCTGTGGCTCAGGCATTAGTTGCATCTGTCCTCCTTAGCTGGTCTTGAATGCACGTTTAAGACTAGCCAAGCACATAGTTAATCGCTTATTGTTTCTGACGTACCCACATATACCAGTGCAGAATTATTGTATGATTGTAGTTTCTGTAATCTTTAACTGCACACAGAAATTTTCCAAGCACTCTAGGTGAAGTCGAAGTGGTTACTCATCAGGCCTTCATCCCGCACTGAAATATCTGCCTGTCCCTTCCAAGCCATTGCTGAAAAATTGCCTGTCCGCTCTCAGGAAAACTTTTGAAACTGATGCCCCTCAGTGCTATCTGAGGTGGTATTTCTCTGGCACCCAATTGTCTTGGAGGAACTGTATGATTTCTTGTAAAACAATGGGACGTGTAAATTTTAAATTGCCTGCCCACATTTATTTTGCCTCTCCTCGCGACAGGTCGATAGATGGCTAAATTGGACCCTCCCTGCCTCTTTAACCATTCAGATCGGAGGAAACAGCTGACATTCTCAAGAGTGTTTGCCTAGCAAGTAACTGATCAATTCCACCACCCTCCCCATTTACNTTTACAAGAATATCTCAACATGGTCTGATTTTTCATTGGTAGTTGGAAGAATGCCAAGAGGAGCTTGCCATGGAGACGGTAGTGGACGACATCATCGATGGAGAGATGCTGGTTTTGGTGGGTGGGTTCCTGCAGGAGGCCCTCATGAGGCGAGGCTTGCCACTGGACAGCACTGAAGAAGAGGTGGAAATGCAAGAGGTTGGTACAGGGGGCGTGAAATGCATGTGAAAAGGGGGTATAAAGTACGTGTACGATGATGTAATGATTTACATGGTACAATTGATGCTGTGTTGTGGAATCACAGTACAGAATTTGTATCTTGATACCTGGCTACAAACGAAGATGGACAGAACCCAGACGATTTTAAAATTTGTATACAACCCATAATGGAAATGTTAAAAAAAAGAAAAAAAAAATGGTCATTTGTTATTGTACCTCCAAAGCGAATGAAGAGAATCAGTGAAGTATGGGGGGGGGTCTTGAGACATGTTTCAAATATGCATGTGTGAGATTTGGGGGGTTGAGACATTGATAGTTTCAGCATTTTGGAGGAGTAGTACCACCTGTTCAGGGGAGGGGTTAATAAAGATTCTTTTTACTGTGAAATTTTTTTTAAAAAAGCATCTTGCCCACTCTGGACCTAGGAACTGGATGTGCGACTGAGAGCAAGTAAGCGGCTGAACCACCGGCAGGGAAGATTTATAAACACAAAGAATTGATATGTGCATAGTCAAACGTATGCCCTTTGGGTCATCAACCTGCATACGTGGCCGGGGCAGTGGTGTTCTAACGGTTTTCCAACGTCTTTCAGTGTTTCCGCTGATATCTTGTGGTCAGTTTTCACACCAGTATTTATGGCATTTGAATGCACCACTCTAGTGCAATGTCAAAGCAGAATTGATAGTGTGGGGTTTCCTCAAGGGAAAACTTGGGTTGAAACCTTTATCCCACACCATCACTATGGCCTTAGAATTCTTTATTTGATTGATTTAGCGGATCATTAAAAACAATTACAGGCATATTTGCAATCTTTGGCTTGCATGGGATGAACATTATATGACAGTACAATAAAATTAAAACAAAAACAATTAATTACAATTTATTGTTACAAGGAAAAGTGTACAAGTGTACAGTGACTGTTATGAAATTTAAATTGAAACTCTGCTCTATTGAAAAGTCTGCATTTCTATTTTCAAAAATAGTCAAGCTGTTGTAGTTGCATGTACCTGGTTGTTTCTCTGGCTAATAGTGGCATGGATTTCTTCAATGGGAAGTTTGGGTTGACTCCAAAATAACACCATGCTCAGTGTCATCTTTTTCCAAAGTCCTAACTGCTTTGTGTTTTTGGCAGGTGGCCAGAATTGCCGAAAGTTCCCTGTTGGACGCCATTTTGCTGGATCATTTGTTGTCATCGGTGATAGTGAATGGACAGAAATGGAGCTACGCGCAGCCTGCTGACTGGTTCCTGGATGGTAAGTGGGGCAGAGAATAACCAAGGAAGCGTACATTGGCATGTTCTATCATTATGAGGGTCCTTTTTATTAATTTTTCTCGGATTCACTTTCTGTGCGACTTTATGCTCTTCAAGGTTTGAAACCTATTTGACGTTCTTTTGGGGGTTGAGTGTATTAAAAAGAGCACTTTTTGTAAAAAATTCGAAATTATCAATTCTTTCTGGACAACTGAGGCTGTTAATGGGATTTCATTCACTGCTCAGTCACATGTTTTTTGTTAAAATTTACTAACTCAAACTGTGCTTGAAAACATTTCTGAGAAAGGATTGTTTATTGCCTTGTTGCTAATACACAATACAAAGTCAGGGCAATCAAGGACAGCAAATTACAAGAAGCTTTGTTCGCGCAAATCACAGTTTGCTCAGTAATTTATAATCGAAATTATTATTAATGGAAAATGGGTGCCATAATACATCCAAAAAAGGAAAAAGCAAGCAAGACACAGAGGAGTTTAAACACTATTAAAGGTGCCTGTCAAGGGTTTTATTGCAAATGTATTTCAGGGACCCTTTAAATAACAGAATTGATTCCTTCTTTTACCCAGAATTCATTGTTCTGTCAGCATTATTTGCTTCTACTACTGATGAGTGAAGTGTCTTGCTTTACAACGCTAAGACTTGGGGAACTTCCTTGCTTTACTTAAAGACACTCTGAGTGAAACGTCTTGATCAAGGACTCGAAGACAGTGCACTTTCATTCAGTTAGTCACTTCATGTATCATGACCCAACTTCCTTGTATGTGTCCAAATATGATATTTGTGGTGAGAAAGCTAGCTTATTTTCAGAGGGATGTCGCACAAGCAGGATTCGACGACGGAAAAGACCGAAACTCACGTGTCGCCAATTTACGAATGCACTCAGTGCTGGACATACACAATTTAATACTCATAACATCGAAATGAAGATTGAGTTCGGTTACAGGTAGCATAAACAATGTTCCCAAAAGCAACCCTAGCAAGGTCAATAATTACCTGTACCATAGAGAGGCATAATGGGGGAGGAACCAGGAAGTAGAACTATATGGACTTTTTAAAGAAACGCTCTTAGACATGTTAGACATGATTATTTGCTACGCTAAGAAGACCTATACGTGACAGTTCCCTGAATTAAGGACACTGGGATTGAGTAAAGTGTCTTGATCAAGGACACTGTCAGAACCACTTTCATTGTGCACTTTCATGCATTTAGTCACTTTATGTATCTTGCACCCTGACACAGTTTCCTGACTTCATGTTTTGTCTGCAGATCAATTATTAGAGATTCTTCTTGGCCAGTATGTTGGTGTTCTCCACAATCGGCGGGCCACTGAAGAATGCGTACCACTCAAGAGACTCCACGAGAAGGTCGTCACCGATGTGGCAAGTGCTTCTCTTCTCTAGTCATTCTGAAGTCAACAAGTTTCAGTCTCTTGGCAAGGATGGCCCATACAAGGGTTGCCTCAGATCCTCTTCCATACTTCTCAAATTAGGGTCTTAAGAACAATTTGGAGGTCAACTCAAGGAATCAGAATCTGTTCTTAGAATATTTATTTTGATTTTTTTTCTTTTTAATTTCCTCCTTTTTTTCTTAGTTGCAACCTGATTCCTGTGGTTTGAAAGTGTCTCGATGAAATTTATCATTGTACAGGCTCTGGATGCAATTTTCGGCGAGCTGATGGACCAACTTGAGGAAGATTTACAAGACCTTGATGAGTACGAGAGAGGGTGAAAATCGTCTGAAATTATAACCCTGCAGAGCCTGTAAAGCCACTTGTGACACAATAAGTAACTGCAGATAAAGTGCAAAGTGCCTTAGGCCCTAATGAGAGGGAAATGAAAGGAGTGGTGTGCAGTAGAGGTTTTGTATAAACTCAAGAGGTTTTGTATTATAATGTGTCACTAACTTGTGAGTTTTAATTTCATCTCAAATGATGGACGTTTTTTGGTTCTCTGATGACTGGGGTCACTTCTTTTGAAGATGTCACTCTCAGCCACATTGGACTCAACGATATCAAAGTACAAGTACATTATTTGTCACATCATGGAATCATTGTTTACAGAATTCTCAAATGGCATGCCCTCCCTACAAATTGCTACGTGCATCGGCATTTTGGACGCGACAGGAAATTATCGTGATGCGCACACGCGACTGATGGCGTTGAATAAGGAGTTATACGTGTAATTTTCCTATACGAAGATGGCGTCCTGTGAGAAAGATCTATACCATTCGTCTCATTAACATTCATTTATACATTCATTCATGTATATTTAAGTGTATTTTGATAAAAAGGATATTATATTAAATGCCCTACTTAAGCCCATAATAGGATCCTAAAAACCGAACTTTTCTTTTAAACTATTCCAAGCGTACTGCTTTTGTAATGAACAGCAAATCTGTTGGATGCAAACTGCATGCGCGGTTTTAACCTTCAGAACATGGGCCAGTCATTAGTAAGCAGGACAGTAACTTGTTAAACAGATCTACGCTGTTTGTATTTTAATAAAGAGAAAGGTGTCATTTTCCGTGGCTTGGCATTTCAGCCAGCCATTTGATTTTATTCCAAAGAAAGAAACGATTGAGCATTTGTGGTTGAAAGCATGGATATTGCAGAAGGGGAAAAATTGTACTCGCCGTCGCAACGAAAATGTTTAACTTACAGGTAATGAATAGATTTATCGGTAATAGAATTATTATACTTGCGAGTATGTCACTGCATTATTTCTCGATTTTTCAAACTTCAGGCGGTCAGTTTGTCTTTAAATTTTCAGGGTATTGTAGTAATTTTAGTGAAATATACTGAATCGGCGAGGAAGCAAGCGAGTACAGCATGAGGCAAAATAAAACTAAACAAAAAGGAACTGAGCGTAAGTGAACACTGAAATAGAACACCGTAACTCCTTTTTCCACGGCCGGGCAATACGAGCGGTTGACAGCAGTGCGCCTCCAATAGTTTGCAACGCGTTGGCCAATCACAACGCCCGAAATATGTCCACCCTTTCCAGACACGCATTGGGTCTACAGATTTCAAAGCCGGGGGGTTCTCTCCGTCTCATATCTTGCTATATATATGCAGCAAGGTATGAGACGGAGAGAACCCCCCCCCCTGCTTTGTGTTGGCCATTGTCTCGCAGGAATCTGGCGAATTCCTTTCAGACATCTTGGGGGAATGTGTGAAGTAACAATAGTCTGGAACGTGTGTAGGGATTGGACATGTGGGGGGGGTACCCCTCGGTCTCATTTCTTGCTGGGTATAGAAATTTGCCCACGCTTTTGGATTTAGTCGGGTGCCGTCTCGGCTACGGTACCCCGCCGTTGTTTTGAATAGGAGCTGTCTTTCTTAGGCCTTTTTCCAATACTCAACTTCGTCTGCGTCTCGGGTTCGTCTCCGAAACCAATCTCCGATTGTGGGTCAGAAGCGTTTAAATCAAATTGGATTACTGTAAGATTTTGCTCTCATGCATCTTATTTGATGTTTTGTGGCACTGTTAGACTAATTACTGCGCTTACAGCTTCAAAGTCAGGAAGTAAAAAAAACAGTTGAATCCTCAGAGGGAGCCGAATCGAGTATTGGAAAACGGCCCATGTGTTTACATGCCTGTGGGTGAGTGCCAAAAAGACGTTCTCTTTTGTTCAGCTCGGAGCGGATACACCGTCATAAAACTGCTGACACTGCGCTGTTTCGACGATCATATGCAAGCTCGGTGGCCTCGTTTTACTGAAGAGACAGAGCTACACACCTTGGTCCCTTGGTGCCGTGCATGCCGCGCGTGATGATAAGGATCCCGGGGAATATGCATTTTGTTTTAATGGTTAGGCAGAGTGACATGGTGGTTTAATTGAATCATGGAAGGAGTAATGTTTTTAACGCCTGTACTTAATTGCAAACTCTCTAACATTTTGCGGTGAATAGAGTGATTCTTGGCTTTCCACGACGGTTAGTGCTTCTGATTTGCTTTTCAGAGATCAGAGAAGATACAGAAGGTTTTGCATATTGAGTCTCTTTATAAAACTGCTCCATACACGTTTAAAACGAAAGAGCTGGTGACAACACCTACGTGTCCGGTCCGCGACTAATAATCCAGCGTTTGAAATTTTGAATGCATCATATTAACTATTAATTCTTAAGCGTTTAAAGAGTTATTTTAACAATATTACTGAAATGTTTTTACAGAGTGTCCTTTTACTGACTATTGAATCAACAGTTTTAACGCAGAATTTGAAAATTTATAATGCTAGATTTAAATTCTGCAATGCCGGATTAAAAACGTTCAAGGTAGCTGACCGCACTTTATGTAAGTGTTCGGTTCAACTTTTCGGTTTGTTGACGAGCACTTCCAGAATAGTGCGCACAGTATGTCATGAAGAATTCCATGCACAGGATTTCGTATTGACGAAAAAAGAAAATACGTCATAATCCAGCTTTGGTGTCATAGTACCGTAGTACTACAATTGTGTTCACCCGACACGGTGTGTACCCTTTTTGTTGTTAGTGCATGACGACTTACATCCAACTGCATCTTTTGTCAAAAGAAAACTTTAAAACGATGGGCTATGAAATGAGACATTCTGCCAAATATAAGTTTTCCCTTTTTGACTTACCACACTTCACCATGTGTCAAATAACCCAAGTGATGCTGATGTATAGAAGATGGTGAGATATGGGCAAATTTAACGACAGTTACTCTTTACGGTAATCGCCACGAAAGTAGTTCCGTTTATTTAGGGTCCCTATTCATTATCACCGCACCTGTTTCCTGAAGCAGACTTGCGTAACCAGGAGGCAAACGAAAATGGGTAAGTCGTCCTGTTTTGACCTGAAAGTATATGCCTACATTTCCAGATGGCCATTACAAGTGTAAAGTCCTTCAACGTATCGTCGACAGGCCACTCATTTTGCCACTGGCGGAAGCAATCAAACTTGACTTAGGTGGCGAAATTATGGACCTGGCGACTATGTGACTATATTATGGTCACATACGTTAAGACTTTTTATACAACCCGGATGTTTGCGGAAGGCCTGTACATACATGTATATAGGCCTTGCATTGATGACTATTCCGATACAATTCTTAGACCAAAAACACTCCCATCGGGATAAAGCAAAGCCCTGAGAATTATACTTCAGGCGGTTACTTTTGTAGTCGTAGAAATAAACCCTTTGATATTATTGCACTTTTTTGTTGTGAAAACTATATTTGAAGGCAACATTCGAACTGTTCTGAAGCAAACATATATGCGAAATACGTTTCTGCGAAAGATGTCTGTTTTAACACAAATCATGCACAATGGCGACCTCAACGTACGCTTTCTGTAGGGATTCTTGCAGACGATGTGAAGTTTTGGGCTAAGGGTTAATGAGAGTCGCAAAGCATTTTTGTTCAAGGGCTTCAAGCTCGATTAATAAGATATTTATTACATTATCTATGTATCATTATCTATGGAGTGGCAGCGAAACATGTTAGTGAAAACATTAAGCGTCCTGGTATTCGGTCCGAAGGCGGTGTCTAGAAATTGGGCGCGTAATCTGGACAGTTCTCTCTAAACGTGGTGCACTGTCAAAAACAAGTCAATAAATCTCTTCGATAAGAGTTTATTTCCATTGCAAAGTAAAAATACCTTAAAGGTCGCGCTTGTCAACAGATATTTTGCTTCCATGGGGGAATTTGTTGAAAACGGTAGTGACACTTCAGAAATATAAAATATAAAAACTCAGAAATATGTCAAAACTGTACCACGCCTTTCGAAATCAAAAGACAAAATTGAACAACTAAACTTCACCTGGATTCTTTTTCTGTGCAGTTTTGGCTAAACTGATAATACTTAAAAGAGCTACCGGAAATTAAATTTAAACACATAGGCCAAGTTGAATGACACGAAATTTTGTCTATAGTGTTTCACAGTGCTTTGAAATTTGATAAAATAAAATTATTCAATCGAAATATTTTCAATGAACTAACAGATGAATATCGAAAGCCGAGATCAAAACCTAAACCATGAAATGTTTGCATTAAGGTTCAACAACAAAAACCTGTTGAGAATCAATATGTTGGAGTTGACTCACCCAAGTAGATTTTCATTTCTCTTTTTGGCAGAATTTACATGTTATTTACGTTCTTCTTCAGTCAAATTACTAAAAATGTCGAATTGTATTGGATACAAGCAACTCTACGTTAATCTTTGAAGCTTATCTTTGGTCTCGGAGTAGTAGTTTCAGGAAGTACTGTTTCGGAAAGGAACAAAAAAGTATTCAGTAAAAAAAATTGAAGTATTTTGTACTATAACTACAAGAAACACCAGCATTGGGGAATAAGTAAGAGACACTGCAGCAGATGTCGTGTTTGGGGTTATTTACGAATCCTTACAGATGTTTCCTTGCCAATTTCATTAGTTTTACAAGTTCTTAGCAAAATCGAGAGTTAACCTTAACAGTTTTACATGTTGGGCTTTCATCGCAACCTAATTCCGCTTATTCAGGCTGGCCGGTATTTTTATAATTCAACAAGATGGCTGAGCGAAGTACTTTATCTAACTGTAACAGTTGTTTTCTGTTTTAGTATTTGGGTGTGTGTGTGTTGTCCTGTGTGAGGGAAACAGCATTCACGACGGATCTGTAAACCCGTAAAGGACAGGCAACTTGCATTAGTATTATCGCCCTTAACATTAAGACGTGTATATACCATAGAAATATAATAGCTCTATGGTGGGGGGCCTACACTTGCACACACGAAACTAGCCAGTGTTGTAATAAATCTTTTCTCCTACAAGATTCATATTTCCTATATGACTCTTGCAGCAAACTCTTCACTTGTAAGCTGTGAACTTGCTTTTGTCCGTGATTGTTGTTCAAGTACTTTTAAGCGGCACCAAGTCCCTTCCCTGAAGTGGTATAGCTTTGTATGACAAAAGACGACTATGACGTTCACCATCGAAGGGCGCTGATTCAATTGCGTTGACCTATTTCCCCGGCACGTACTACCATAACACACATCGTTGTACCCAGACTCGTTTAGAAGAGAAAAAAAAAACTTTCTCGTCTTTGAAAATCACAATTGGGTAATCACGAAAAGCCTGTATTGGTTTGTACAAATTCTGCATTGATTATGGTGTTCAGCCTACATTGCATAGTCGGGGAGTTCTTTCTCCCTTACAGTCAGCGCACACTGGCATTTTTGTGAGTCGTTTTGAGAAGCACATATGACCCTTTTATAGCCTTGAGGGTATTTTGATTAACTTAATCGTAATGTTTGATATTTCTGATTTCTTTTACAACTCTCTGCACCTGTTCTCTGTTGAAAGTTTACTTTTTAGAGGGTAAAACTACAACAGTAAGCAGCCATAATTATTTTGTTGGTATCGGCATTTGGTGGATTCGGTTTGTATTCGCTTACATTAGATTGATGGCTGGAACCAAAGTCGCAGGCTGGGGGGGTGCAGAAGCCCCTCCCCCGCCAGCAGAAGGGAGTTCCGCTTTAGGTGTTCATATTTTTGGGTTTTTTTTATACCAAACAGCAGTACAATACTTTATTGAGGTGAAAGTACGTTGGTTTTTGACTCAAGATGACTGAAAAGTAAAATAACAAATGCAGTCGACTCTCGATATTACCAAATCCGTGGGACCCAGCGGAATGTTCGTTGTGTCGGAAATTCACTGCAGGCGAAACCCAGTGCAATGGCTTCGGTGTGTATATGAATAGGTCTTATTGCGTATAATGCTACTTACATTGTACATTTACTTGAGCTGTACATGCACACAGTCAAGTGGACGTGGTTGATGTCGAAAAGATCTCTCGGTTAAAGCTTATGATTAATCAAGTATTTTGTGATGTGTTTAGACTGATAAACGTCACTGTCATATGGAAAAAATATTTCATATAAAAGTATGGCATTTAAAAGCATCGAGCCATGGATTTTTTTTAAAGACCTTTGGTCGTCATGGATTAGAACGAAGCTAAAATAGCGGCATGCACATGTAGGCCTGTGGGTACCTGCAAGAAGACTCATCAACTGATCACCCCCACCCCCAATCCTTGTAAGTCGCCTTTCCAACATAAATTGTGTCATGGAGAGACCAGTTTATTTAATTTTCGGTTTGTCTTTTGATGCTCGGCATTACCTGCGTGACCACGATTGATCGATGGTTTGAGTTCACTAGACCACCTGATGTGGCGGCCACTGATCGCTGGTGGCGGCCCGCGCGAGAAATGGTCGCTGAAGAAGCATGACGTCATGAGGGATCATTGTGATTGGGTAGCGATGTCATGCAAATTGTACGCAATCTCATTGGCGGGCTTGGTAGCTCTTTTAGCAGCAATATGAATCATTCAGTGTGGGCGATTAGTTGGGGCTCTTGGGAAACGAGAGTAGTCAAGCTAACTTACTAGGGGTGTATTTTTAATGGAATTGGGAAGGTATATTTGTTCTTGCGTTGCTATAATCAATATGAAATAAATCACCGTTTTTTTTAGTCGTGCACTACACTTGTCATGACGACAGGACACTGCCGTGCGTGATGCATCTGGTGGGGCCGGCGATAAACGCATTATGCTAAGGAAGGAAATTTTGTTGAGACTCGCTTGCTTCCAGTACCAGCTGTACAACCTCAAATTAAATTCATGAACAAAGGAAATACAATCATAGACATGAGATCAATTTCTGAGAATGAACTTGCAGAAATTTTGTGACGGCAGCGATTTGTTTGAGTTGCAACTGTAGAGCTGCCTTCGTATGATGTGGTGCAACGTACAACGCTTCTTTGGCTGGAATACGGTAGACTGGTTGCCGCATTCTCCAATGCCTTCTTTGGCAATGGTTTGGCGCGGCCAGAACCAGTGCAGTATTGCTTGAATTGCACTGCGCACTTATTTCCTCCACTGCGTTTTGTACACGTTTGTTATAAATGGGTCGTCAACAGTGGTTGTTCACGCAACGGAGTCAGAAAAGCCTTTTGTTGTAACAGGAATTTCGTACAATGCGATTTCGCTGTATCAGATTTTTTCCTCTAGAAAGGTGCACTTTGTTTTTCGCCAGGACCGCTATAGCCGATTCTGTATAAAGAGAGTCGACTGCACATCTGGGTCAATCTACTTTCAAGTGCTGGAAGTTGGAGTTCCGCTTTCTTGAAAATCGCAACCCACGGGGCTAAACCAGCCTAGGCTTCTGCTGAAACATACTAAACAGAACTGAAAAACAGAGGGTCAAGCAGCACAAGGCTATTACATACGTAGTTCTGATATACTTCAAGAAAGGCAAACAGAAACTGCGAAGGATCATTTCACAACCCCGTCATTTTTATAAACTTGGATTATTCTTTTTTTACAGAAACTCCCACGTCCAATAAAGCAGTATTCAATTAAAGGTTATACTGCGAGCCCCCCCCCCAGCTTCATCTACCTATCTTAATTTTAAAAGGAAGGTGCTCAATAAAAGATTCAGAAGAATGATATTTTTACTGAAACCCACTCCCAAGAAACACTCTTTTTTGGATTTCTTTCTTTTACCTACCAATAATCCATGGGTTTGGGATTCAGTCCGGATGGCCGGATACAGTTCTTGTAGTTATTAGATTAGACTGTATCATTAGTTGTATAACGTACTTTCTCGTATTGTAAACCCCTGGACTTATTTTGGCCTCCTTTTTAAATTGCAGATTCTACCTAAGGACTACAGTTAACTGCATCATAAATAATTTTGTAACTTTTCGTCTTTGTTCAAGAACATTGAGTTGGAGTGGTCATGCAATTTAGGTTTGTGGAAGTAAATGGCATTTTTTGGCATTTCCCTTCCAATAGACTTAATTATTTCAGTTTCCATGAATTATACCAGTATATATTTTTCAGAGGCCATTATTGGAGGGAACGTCTTAAAGAAAAAAGTGAACGAAGAATAATTGAATATTGTAAAAGAACAACAAACTTTCAGTGGTTCTCGAACCGCGCCAGGGTTTCAAGCTCTTTTGCTTGAAATCTTGTATAGTCATTTATCGATGAGTCATTTGATTATCGCAGAAGTAAACTAGATTCATTAAATTTTCAATTATTTTCTGTATTCTGTCCAAAGGGGCAAGATTCATCGTGTTGATCTTCGTTGCCATGGCAACACAGAGTGGTAAGTCAGCTTCCATTGTATGGTGGCTCATTTATTTGCAGTTATAAAACTGCTTGTTTTCAACAGTACATTGATAGCTGGAAATCATACATTCCTAATCTAATGATGGTGTGTTTTGCAGATGTTTCCTATCTATCCCATTATTTACAATATTATTAGATAAAAACATTTAAAAAAATGTAAACTTTTAAATGTCAAAGTAATTCCAATTGGTAAGCGTAATACCTTGTTAAAGAGTAGTCAAACAAAGTTACTGAAACTTTTATTGTCGAAGAGCCACAATCCTCAAATAGCCGGGTTATCATTTTTAACCCATCTTACAGCCGGTGCTCTGGATTCCTCCGTGTCTTTGGGGTGTTTGCATCTGCCAGCAAGACTAAAATTCATTCGATTCTTGGGCAATGTTGGCCGTCTCAATTGCATGTAAATACATAGTTTGTCCTATATATCTTCATAACTCCAAAGCAGGGATTGCATGGACTCCGATGCAAGTGTCAAAAATGAACCATAAAAACAAAGAAAATGAATGCTTTCATTAAGTAATTAGGCTTGGTTTTCAATATTTTGGTTGGTTGCAGAAAAAAACTTCCTTTCTGTGTTTAGAGTCATCTATCATTGCACTTTAGGAAATGGCGGGAAAATATTTCAGTATTAACTTTACGCAATTTGAGTATTAACTTTACATACTTTACTTTCTGCAATTGCTGCCGAAGTTTAGGTAAAACAGAACAAAAAAATGTGGTATTCCATTTGTTGCTATAAAGTTTTCAAAAAAGAAATATATCGTTTGCAAGCACAAAATGGTTTCGATGTTTATACCAAGATTGTTTTTTAACATTCGGTGTGGAGATCCGAAGGAACGACCATTGGACCTTACCATTCTCTTAAGGGGTCATAGCGGGACGATATGTTCACGTGAGGTCAACTTCCAAAGTTTCATAAAGTAACTTTAATTTTAAACAAGTTCCAACAGTTCTGTATCTATTTCGTTAGTTAAAGTGCAAAAGAAAATGGCCTCAACTATTTCGACATCTAGTGTTTGTGGAGGTAGATTGGCCATGTGTGTACAGGTGAAGCAACCCACGTGCGTGCTTGTTTGCCGAGTCGACATTTTCAATGTGTCAAAGAAAAAGACACATTTCGAATTCTTCTCGTGAAAGTTAGTGGATTCAATTAAATTACACAGCGGTGAATGAGAACGACTGCACGGAACTTGTCCGCGTAGTGGGGCTACGGCCGGGGTCCCAAACTTGGCGGCAACGTGGTCCAACAGAACAGCACCCGGCACACCAGCAGTAGCATAACAACACAAGCGAAGCAGTCAGCGAGGCTAGTGCCGTGCATCGCTTTTCTATATTGGAAGTATTTCTGCGGACGCTGGAAATTTGTCTAAGTAGTCTTCTAAAAATCTTTGTTATTTTACGTATCTGCGAAAACGGGAAGGTTTAAAATACACCCTTCTTGCTTTGTCAGGGGACTATCCATTCAACGCGTTATTGCAAGCACGAAAGCGTCGATAACACAAGTCTCAGTGTACGAGATACCTTTCAGAAACTACTGACTGCACAAGACTGGGGCATGTTTTATTTTATGACAAAAACACAACAAATCATGCACTTAAACTTGATGTATGGAGCCATCAATGTACATAGTTAACAAGATCTGCGCAGGAACATGGCATTTTGAGCATGCCTCTACTACGGAACTCGTGTGTGAAAGTGCACACTGGTTACAGCGTATCTCCCGATGACGTATTGGGGTCACCATCAGTTTTGTAACTTCTCAAAAGATGATGGCATCAATCGCAAAATCTATCTATCTAATTTTGAAAATAACACTTGTCGGCTGTTTATTTGACACTGTCAATAGCGGCACTGTTTCCAAACAGTATCACGGCTGGCAGATTTATTTGCTTTCTCCCTCGGTTGTAAAGACATATCGTACAAGTAGGCCTACATTTCCCAAATGTCCATTTAAAAATTCGCCGTTTGAAGTTGGCATCAGCAGGCGTATTGGTCTGCGATTAGTACGCAGTTTTCAACGGCAACAGTTAACTTTGGGCCTCCCATTTTGCAAGGACGGTATTCCCACTTTCATCAAGTTACTGTCGTTGTGATTTTAAAGACATGTATTCACCTCGAAAAACGCCTGAAGGCCCACTACACTGTGCGAGACATTCTGTCAATACCGGGAGAATGCGAACGGCGCTTTCAGGTTAAATGCATATCAGAGACACTGTGTTGCACAAAATGTGTTGAGACATTCCCGTGCAAGGAAAGACATCCAATCATTTTCATCTGGAGTACAGGTCTATTTCTTGTTAAACATTTCCTCCCTTTCCCCTATCGTCTTAAAGCCTGGGCCCTGAAATGCTACCAGTGTTCAACCTTCATATATCCAAGACTGCCATTGCCCAACGACGGAAGAGCCAACTGCGCTAATTCTCCGCCTCCAAGTGCTTACAGAGATCCTGGAACGTGTGGTGGCTCACTGCTTGGTCCATCAAATACGTGTGTTACCATTTCTGGAACAGTGAGGGGCACGACCGCAGGTAACTTGATGGAAGTTGCATTAGAAATAGTTCCTCGAATACATTCCTTTCGGGAAGTTGCCCAAATACGTATTTCCACGGAGATGGTACAAAATGGACCCTACCTCTGAGGAAGTCATATGTTTAGATCATCGAATCTGTTTTACATAATTGGTAACCAATGCATGGAAAGGTATCAGGACTATTGTAGAATCATGTGGGTTCCAAGCCTTCCTTTTATTCCAAATCTAAAACACTAAAGTACGTATGCATTACCTCAAAATGTGATATTATTTACAAGAGTAGAAAGGTATTTTTGCAGGAAATTTGACTTTATTCTTTCGCTCATGTTTTCAAGATTCACACATGAAGAGTTCCCATCACTTTTAAATTTAAGATTTCCGAATAACGGAAAAGGTCCATTCTGAATACAAATCATGGTGACACTTTTTTTTTTGTTTATAAATGTGTGTTTGCTTCGTTCTCTTGTCTGTTTTGGCCGTTGTTGCTGTTAGTGTTGAAGTTACACTCCTACATCTTAATTAAAATGTGTGATTTCCAGGTGGATCCTCTTTAAGTTTCAACGATGGAACATTCAGGGGATGCACTACACTGATAGGGACAAATCCGCAGTGTTTCCAGGGTGAAAAGGCTGAGCATTTTGCCAAGATGCTACTTGAACTCTCGTCATTCAGCAGTTTTAAGGGTTCAGTCTGCTTCTGCAAAGGAGACTACTGCAACGGCGTCAGTGCAGTGCGCCCTCTTGCGGCTGTAATCGTCTTAGTCATTGCCGCCAAGCAGTTCTTCGTTTAGGCCCAAATGCTTTCTGTGACCAAGAAGGTGCATTTTGTCTGCTTGAGGTGGAGATATCTAGAAAGTACACCAAGACTTCTCTATAAATAGGTTTTTTTTTTTAAAGAAATTAAACTGTAATACGGTCGATTTTACAATGGTGCGCCTCGAAGAGTTTGCTACACGTTGGCCAATCACAGTTTGCAAAATCTGTCGACCCAATGCTCGTTTGGAAAGGGTCGACAGATTTCGCTCATTGTGGTCGGCCAACACGAAGCAAACTCTTGGAGGCACACTTTTCTGAATCGCCATTTCTTGTATGTTTGAATATTACCATAAAAAAACGATTTGGAAATCTAATAAAAGGTGTTTTGCTTATCGTCTTTCACAACCTCGACTCCGTGGGCTGCATGCACGTCCCTTCACTAGCCCCTGGGGCCAATTTCATGGAGCTGAGAATTTGCTGAAGCGCAAAAAACAAAGGCCACTAACTCAAAATCTATATGATTGTCATGCTAAGCTAACCAAAAGACAGGTAAACACCATTCCAAACATATGGAGTTTGGGCTGGTAACCTGATTTGTCAAGCAAGGTTTTTTTTCAGGCTTAAGCAAATTTGGTGCTTAATTAAGCAGCTCTATGAAATTGGCCTTCGTGTAGAATATGAAAATGACGCTTATTAATCAGAATGAATAAACATAAGCATATATAAAATCAGTCGCGCAAGTATTTCAAACACTCTATGCACGCGCCCAGGCATAGATCTCCTGCACGTCACACGAGGGTAAAGACCGGTTTAATACTTCACGCGAAAGCAAATGCGAAGCGAATTTTTCAGAGCGGAAACGGCACACGTCACAATGCAACTTCAAATTTTGACGTCATGAAATTTGCTTCGCATTTGTTTTTATGTGAAGTATGAACCGGGCTTAAATCCATTTCGCGCGTAAACATGTCGACTGCGATCCAAACCGATTACGTAAAACTAAAGGTAGGCCTACTAAAGGTGACGGGGGGTGCGTGGAATTGCAGCATTACGCACGAACAACTTGGAACCTTGCAGACATCTACGCGTACGCGTGATTTCGTAAGCAAATGCGCGTTGCATGGAACGCAGTAGAACATCATGTCTAGCTGTTCTTGCTTAATCTTGGCGTAGCGCACTAGAATAGGCGTGACACCTGTAGCTATGACATTCTCGATTCTTTATACGGGCGATTCAAAATAATACGCCTCCAAGAGTTTGCAACGCGTCAACCGATCATGAGACCAATCATGAATTATGAGTGGCAAGTGCTTTTCATAGCCTACTCTTGGAGGCGGACTAGCTTGAAACGCCTGAATTGAAATCCCCCCCCCCAAATTGGAATATTTAAATTATACCATACAAGGGATTAAGTTCGCGCAAGGCATGTTTGGAACCAACATGGCGCAACAACATTATACCCAAGGGAGCGAGGTTGCGTCTTTCCTGCTTGACACCTATACAGGAGCGAAATGACTTTCCAGTGTACCGAGTGATTTTGCATAGACTATGACGTTTTTCTGAAGGGAAGAAAATAAGAATCATAACTAAGTCTTGTCCATTTGTTGGGACAAGAGGAAAACGCATAACTAGTGACAGAATTTTTCATGCTTAATTTCCATGACAGTATGCTTCGAAGTCATTTCGCTCTTGTTGTATACATAGCAGAAGCTTATTAATTCCGTCATTCATACCTTGGTAGTTAAGAGACGACCTTTCCCCTTAAATAACACTGTCATTAGAAAGTTAGAAAAATCATCAATAAATAAAACTCTAACACTAAGAAAAAGCTGAGTCATTAGTGATCAATTGGACGAGTTGGTGGAATAAATAGCGTGTTCCATTAGCCAGATCTATGCCCCAAAACATTATATTCGGTCCCAGTCTGTTGACACGCCCTGGGGAGGTAGCTGACCGTTATCGCAACCTGCAGGGTTCAAAGGGATGAGCGCCGTGATTCCCTCGCACTCCTTCAGTGCAAAAGTACCCGACATTATTGTCTACTACGACAAAGCCAATCCTGATGATATCTGGCTGAGTGCAGGCAGAGTCAATCGCATCTTAATGAGTTCATTAGTCGAAATTATGGACGTGCCCTGTAGCCAACGTACCTGAAGAGATGATACGTTGTTCTGTTTTCCATGCCCGGCATTGACCAACCTCCATGATTGTAACATCCTGTGACAAATACTGGTACTCGGTCTCTTGATTGTCAGCGAAAGTTAATCAAGAATAGCAATCCAGTTTTGATTTGATAGGGTCATGTGCTCAAGTGCGTGATACTACCTAGAAATTCTTTGAACAAATATTGTTTAAAAAGCGTGTTCAATTTTAAAGGATTCGAACTGGCCTATTTTATATAACAGGTTTTGCCCTTACCCAACGTATATTAATATGCACTGTATGTT